ATTTCCCTAATTCCATCCGTCAGTCCGTGCGTATTTCCCTAATTCCATCCGTCAGTCCGTGCGTATTTCCCTAATTCCATCCGTCAGTCCGTGCGTATTTCCCTAATTCCATCCGTCAGTCCGTGCGTATTTCCCTAATTCCATTCGTCAGTCCGTGCGTATTTCCCTAATTCCATCCGTCAGTCCGTGCGTATTTCCCTAATTCCATCCGTCAGTCCGTGCGTATTTCCCTAATTCAATCCGTCAGTCCGTGCGTATTTCCCTAATTCCATCCGTCAGTCCGTGCGTATTTCCCTAATTCCATCCGTCAGTCCGTGCGTATTTCCCTAATTCCATCCGTCAGTCCGTGCGTATTTCCCTAACTCCATCCGTCAGTCCGTGCGTATTTCCCTAATTCCATCCGTCAGTCCGTGCGTATTTCCCTAATTCAATCCGTCAGTCCGTGCGTATTTCCCTAATTCCATCCGTCAGTCCGTGCGTATTTCCCTAATTCCATCCGTCAGTCCGTGCGTATTTCCCTAATTCCATCCGTCAGTCCGTGCGTATTTCCCTAATTCCATCCGTCAGTCCGTGCGTATTTCCCTAATTCCATCCGTCAGTCCGTGCGTATTTCCCTAATTCAATCCGTCAGTCCGTGCGTATTTCCCTAATTCCATCCGTCAGTCCGTGCGTATTTCCCCTAATTCCATCCGTCAGTCCGTGCGTATTTCCCTAATTCCATCCGTCAGTCCGTGCGTATTTCCCTAATTCCATCCGTCAGTCCGTGCGTATTTCCATAATTCCATCCGTCAGTCCGTGCGTATTTGCCTAATTCTATCCGTCAGTCCGTGCGTATTTCCCTAATTCCATCCGTCAGTCCGTGCGTATTTCCCTAATTCCATCCGTCAGTCCGTGCGTATTTCCCTAATTCCATCCGTCAGTCCGTGCGTATTTCCCTAATTCCATGCGTATGTCCCTCATGTATTAATACATTTGTTTATAATTGTATCTATCCGTAACCCAATCCTTTCGATCAGTGTTTCTTTCAGGCATCTCTTCGGGAGAGGCCAACCAGCCCCCGCCACCCCTCAAAGAAGCGTTTACCGTCCAACGAACGAAAAATAATTTATATTGAAATGCATACTTCACCAGTGTCCGCCCCCAGGGAAAATGTTAGTCTGTCACCTTCCCCCCCCCCCCCCCGGAGTAAAAACAGTCTGAAAGAAACACTGCTTGCGATCGCCCGTACGCGTGCTACGGAACGACAACTCCCACCAAACATTTCACTTACTCCCTGTGTATAACACTGTACGACAATTACCATTTCACTTACTCCCTGTGTATACTGCTGAGCTAGAACAAACAGCAAGTATTTCACTTACTCCCTGTGTAAAGCGCTGTACGACAACTACCATTTCACTTACTCTCTGTGTAAAACGCTGTACGACAACTAACATTTCACTTACTCCCTGTGTAAAACGCTGTACGACAACTACCATTTCACTTACTCTCTGTGTAAAACGCTGTACGACAACTAACATTTCACTTACTCCCTGTGTAAAGCGCTGTACGACAACTACCATTTCACTTACTCCCTGTGTATAACGCTGTACGACAACTACCATTTCACTTACTCCCTGTGTAAAACGCTGTAAGACAACTACCATTTCACTTACTCCCTGTGTAAAGCGCTGTACGACAACTACCATTTCACTTACTCCCTGTGTAAGACGCTGTACTGTTTATTCCAATGAGAGAACTGGAGCACCCTCATGGACTCGACGGCGCCGTTGTTGTGGCTGACAATCAACACAAAGTCTACCGGCACGGTCGATTTGACCTGAATGATCATGAAAGCTGCAGTGGATGTTTTCCCACCCGGTAGGGCGGCCCTGTTTAGAACCAATGTATTATGTTGTGAGTATAAGATGTATCATTAGTTTTAGCAAAGTGTTTGTACAGTGTGCATAGTCTGGCTCTATTGACTTGTATAATTACATAATTACATATTTACATATTTTCGAACTTAAATTATTATTACTGTTACGATTAATTAGTGTTTCAAATACTACGTTTAAAAAAAAAAGTCATTTTTTTAGGACTTATTTTTTAAATATTGTATTCTTTCTCTGTGATATTAAAACGTTTTAACGGAAATAACAAATATATATGAATATCTCTCTCTCTCTCTCTCTTTATATATATATATATATATATATATATATATATATATATATATATAATTCTCTTTTTGGAGACGATAGAAAACACCAAGCTGTAAGCGCGCTCCCAAACACCCCCACCCCCACATGGTCAGGTGAACTGTGGTTCACACTAAATGTTTACAATCGTAGAGCCGGTTTTGTGACGGCTAATAGGGGCAGATAATGTAGTTTGAAATTATTTTAAATTTAGGGGAGGTAACTAAGAGGAGTTTGCTTTCAATGGGGGGGGGGGATTGGGGTAGGGGTTGGGGGAAAGGAGGGGGATATCGTCCTTAAAGACCATCTGATAGCGTTTTAAAGCAAATATTTTCAGTGGCAGCATTGGTACTGTCGAATTCCCAAATTATGAATTACTGAAAAGTAGAAAATAAAACAACTAAATAGCAGCGTATGATACGCCGCGGGTCGGCTCATTTAATATAAACGGTTTCAACGTATTTAGCATTACACTCAGTCTTAATTTTCTGAACTATGTTGTAAAAAAAAAATAAAGCTCTCCTTTAAGATCTAATGACAAACGTCTTCAAGACTAATGTTTAACACAAATCTCGACCACTTCAAGACTAATGTTTATCACAAAACTCGACCACTTCAAGACTAATGTTTAGCACAAATCTCGACCCCTTTGTCAAAACTGTTTAGCTCAAACCTATCCCCCATTTAGGACAAATGTTTAGCGCAAACTATACTCCCTGTAGACAAATGTTTATTCTAAAACCCGATTACTTCAAGACTAATGTTTAGCGCAAGACTCATCCATAACACGTAGCCGACTTGTTTACCTAAATTGTTTATCTTTTGACTTATCAATCACCACCTGTCAATCATCCCCCAGGGTAAAATACTGCCGTTGGATGTTACCCCCTTTTAGTCACTTATCGTCTTCTCTTATACAGATAGAGATAAAGATAAAAAGATAGAGATAGATTAAGGATAGATTAAGGATATATCTGTGCAGTATTTACTTATAACATACCACGAACAAAGTTTTCTTTGATAAAACATGTAAAATACACTACCGCCTAATATAATGTCTGTAGGTCTTAAAAGTGGTAATTAGTAATGAAATTTTCAGGTTATATATTCCACAATACAATTTTTTTTTTTGTCTTTCTATTAAATCAGGGGTCTCCAAACTTTTCAGTCCGAGGGCAGCATTAACTATCAAATTTCAGTTCGGGGGCCAGTTTCTTCCAGACATGTGATTTTTCTGGGCAAATTTCCTCAGCCATCACCAACAAACGTTTTTTTGCTTGGACAAAAGATCTCCGCGGGCCGGATGAGAGGACTTCGCGGGCCGTAGTTTGGAGACCCCTGTATTAAATCAATTGTTTTATGTAATACAATATACCATCCTCTGAACTTGTGAACCGTTGTTTGTTTAGGCAAAAGGTTGACTTTATCTAAGACGGTCGTTTTCCCAGCTGCGTAGTCATAATACTTCATCTGTACAATAATAAAACAACGACAAAACGGTAAATTTACATGGAATTTGAATTAGAATAACATTTTCAATGTAGTATTTGTCTCGATAAAAATAAATATTTTAAAACTTTTCTCAAATTTACATGGAATTTGAATTAGAATAACATTTTCAACGTAGTATTTGTCTCGATAAAAATAATTTTTTTAAAACTTTTCTCAAATTTACATGGAATTTGAATTAGAATAACATTTTCAATATAGTATTTGTCTCGATAAAAATAAATATTTTAAAACTTTTCTCAAATTTACATGGAATTTGAATTAGAATAACATTTTCAATGTAGTATTTGTCAAGATAAAAATAAACATTTTCAAATTTTTCTCAAATGAGTAAACATTGCAACAGTACATTAAACACAAACTACGTACAGTAAATATAATTTTGTATCATTAAACATAAACGGGCTAATTAATCACAATTGGGTGACGATAAATACATATTAGTCCCAGTCAAGACATATAAGTGCATATAGGTCAAATGGTGGGAGGGTGTGGCCTAGTTGTAGAGCGTTAGACTTCTAAGCAATAAGTTTCGAGTTCGGATCCGAACGTCCCTGAGTCCACCCAGCTCTAATGGGTACCTAACTCACGATTGGGAATGCAAAGGCGGCTGGGTATAGTGCTGACCACACTATCCCTTCATATGCCGAGTTTCTCTGAAACTGATGAACTCTGCTTTATCTGTTCTAAATGTTTTGTGCATGAAATAGAAAAAAAAAGATGACGATGTGTCGCAGAAAACACATATGGGTCATGATAAGCATAAACAGAACACAGAAAACATATATGGGTCATGATAAGCATAAACAGAACACAGAAAACATATATGGGTCATGATAAGCATAAACAGAACACAGAAAACATATATGGGTCATGATAAGCACAAACAGAACACAGAAAACATGTATGGGTCATGATAAGCATAAACAGAACACAGAAAACATGTATGGGTCAAAATAAGCACATACAGAACACAGAAAACACGTATGGGTCATGATAAGCACAAAGAACACAGGAAAGACGTATGAATTACAATTAACACACACGGTTATCATAACTTGAAACAGTGGATTCTCACCTCAACGACGGTCGATTGGAGACTGAATAAGTGCCCTGTGACGGTCATTTGCTCCACAGTTACAGAATGCAACCATATATACCAGAGTTCTGGCGGAACCTTATCTAAAAAGCACACATAAATACATACGTATATATATATATTTGTGTGTAAAACAGTGGCGTCGCTAGGTTGGGTGTTACTCGGTAGGCAACTCATGGTGTCTCCCCACCCTCATCGGGTGTTAGTTTTATGCACAGTTAATAGTAAAGATATTCATCTATTTGACAGATATTTTAATATAGGTGGATTAACTCTAATTAACCATTAGTAGAACTGGCGAAAAGCATTTTTCTTCTATATATTTTGCAACTTTTCGCCATGGTGTCACCTCCCTAATTGGTGTCACTCGGTGCGGTCCGCAACTCCCCCCCCCCCCCGTTCCCGCCAACGACGATTCTGGTGTAATAAGCATCACATAAACTAGTATTCAATATTATTTTATTTTGTTGTAGTTTCAGAAAGGTCCTCAATTTTAGCCCGAAACTGCTACTTAAGACAAAGAGGGTTTGAAAAATGTTGAAGAAAAGTAACAATTGTTGAAATGGGTCTCCCCTTCTTGCAGTTTGATTGAGTGACCGCCTGTAAATAAAGACCTCCAGGGTTGTCTATAGATTTTCAAATGAATTGTTTTAAACACTAATAATTAAGAACGAAGAAGAAGAAGTTTTAAATTTATGACACGCAGGGTAGATGGAGTAGAGTTCGTCTGTTTCAAAGTCCTCAGGGATAGAGTGGTCAGCACTATGCACAGCCGCCTTTATTTTCCTAACGCGAGTCAGGTACCCATCATAGCTGAGTCGGCTCGGGAACGTTCTACAGTTGAGAGTTAGGACCGAGATCCGAACGCGAGACCTTCGGATTAGCAGTTGAACTCTATACCGCTCGACCATACCCCGCAAAATGTATTACTTTAGGGACTGGAAATAACCTACTTCTTTTTCTGTCGTGTTGAAAGTTAAAAATCTGATTAAAAAATTGTTTATTTTTTTATTATTCTTTGTGTATTCTTTGATTTTTATTTAGGCATACAAATAGCATGTTCTATTATACCCTCTATAAAATAATGTGGTTGCGTATATACACCATTCTGTAACAAGTGAAAAAAGTAGTAGCAAATTCTAAAATTAAGCAACTGCTGTCTTGTAGTGTGTTCTATATCTAGATAGGAAACTAATCCAAAAAGAAAAGCAGGCTGAAATCGGAGTCAATTAGCAAGTCAACATTCAATTACCAAATTTTGTTTTAGGGCATAACCTTTAAGATCACCATTAGAATGAAAAGGAAGAAAAAAAAATAACAGTATTGTGTGGAATAGCCCCTGTGTTTTTTTTTCCTTTGTGAATGCTAGATCTAGCTCTAAAGTACGGAACCCGGGCTAGATCTAGATATAGATTCTATATTAAAATGATACTGAAAACATATCTCACCCATACAAATGACGTTTATAATCGAGAGAAAAATGAACAGAGCTATCATGTTGCTATGTTAGCAGCCATCCCCATTGTTTGCAATCGTAGAGTCCATTGAAGACTTACAAGACTTACAAATAAGTATTTTTCTTTAGTGTATTATGATGTGTGTCAACTTCCGTTGAAATCATTACTATATTTCTCACCTATACGCGTTCATGAAGTGAAAAGATGGGGAAAATCTATTTCACGCGCAATTTATAATAGCAAATTATAAAAAGAATGGCGTGTAGAATTGTAGTAGTTGTAGAAGTATAGTAGTAAGTAGTAGTAGTAGAAGTAGTAGTAGTAGTAGCAATAGTAGTTGTTGTTGTAGTAATAGTATAATAATAATAATAATATTAATAATAATAGTAGTAGTAGTAGTAGTAGTAGTAGTAGTAGTAGTAGTAGTAGTAGTAGTAGTAGTAGTAGTAGTAGTAGTAGTAGTAGTAATATTAGAAGTAGTAGTGTAGCAGTAGTAAACTGAAACTCAAACTTTATGGAGCTGGGTGTGGTGGTAAAGGGGGGGGGGAGCTATGCATGGGTTAAAGCAGGGGTTCCCAACCTTTTTTTACTCTAGAGCACATTCTAAAATATCGGTAGGGTGGCGGGCACCACCTATTTTAAATCGACCAACTCCTTCCATAACTTGTCATTTTCCCATAATTTATTTTCTTATTTTCTTATAGTCATAAGGTATTAATAAATAATAAACAAAAATGTTTCAAAATAATAAAATAATTTGGCATTTTTTTTCAAATTGCATACACACACAGAAATGTATTTACAAAATGTAAAGAAAGTAAACATATCACATAAATACAAAGAAAACATTTAATTAAAAAATATAATACAGTCAATGTGATCTTCGGCATTGCATTTCATTGGCCAGAGCTTCATAATTAGGAGCGTATAACGATAATCCTGTTAGCAGACAACCACAAAGATGCTCATCGTTGTCGAGATCTATATCTTGATTTTATTAAGTTCATGTTTGAAAACAATAATTCGCATAAATATGTCGAACCGAAAAATGATTCAAATGGCACTAGTAAATAGTGCAGTCTGGCTCGCCGCTAGACAAGTGGGACAAGTATCGAACATATAAACCTAGGCAGTCAAAAAAAATTAAAACTGTAACAAACGAATACAAATAAATCAAATTTTAAAATAATGTTTATGAAAAAAATTCTGTCTCTGTCGAATAGTGAGAGGCGGGCACATACGAATCGTTCAGCGGGCGCCATGGCGCCCGCTGGCACAGGGTTGGGAACCCCTGGGTTAAAGTATATATATTCTACATAAATATTACATTCAATTACGTCTACGTGCTAAATGGTATGGGCGGGTGATGTGCTCCGGATGGCGCTAGCGATGACTGAAAGAAACCCAGCTTTACCGTAGGAAAATACGAAAACGTATTTTCCTAATGTCATTCTCCTAAACGAGATTCGTGAGATTGAAACTCCCCTGTTAAGGTGTAGAGCTGATGTTGTTGACAGCACAAGGTTCGCCAGATGCCACAAGTTCTTGTTGATGTTTAAGGTGAAATCACATTCACAAAATATATGATACGTCTTATGTACGAGCTGTATGCGTTGTTTGATTGTGTTTAAATGACCGAGTTTTTTAATCCAAAGCAGTTCAGTTAAGAATTTATTTTTTTCTGGAATAGGATTACCAAAATAGAGCCGATAGCACAAATAGAAAAGTGCATTGTTTAAAAAACATTTATTATAAGTCCAAAAATTCCATTGGCAAAGATCGAGCTTTGATTGAAATAAAATATGTGTTAGTGATTTTTTTTTCTATCTACAGTATATGTTTAAAAAGAAAATATAATATGTATCATATAATTTAGAAAAAAGTATATGGACCAATTTACTAAATTGTTATCATGTGAGGCGAAGGCCTACCATGTGATAACACTTAATATCCTTAGATAGGCTTTGTTTGTCTATTCGTTATTTGGTCTGTTCGCCTGTTTGTCTGTTCGTCTGTTTCTCTATGTGTTTGTACGACAGAATGACAGACACACCGACAAATGTAACATGCTTCTTCGTAAAAACAGTCGAACAATTAAACACCTGTTATTCGATTTGTTTCTTTGTTTTTTTTTGTTTTTTTTTAAATGTAGAATACGGCATGAACTATGAAAATGTATCAGCAAACATGATCAAGAATAGACAGTTAGACGACACTCGTATTACATGATTTATACAAAGGGAATCAACCCAAATTAATATTTAAAAATTAATATTCAATTTAATTTAGGTAATTATGGCTCATTTGTAGCATGAAATTAAAACCACATTTACAATAATGCAATCCTTTTTTTTTAAATTATTAAAGTATTGATTATGTTTTCCATAAATAATAAGAAGCTTTTATATAAGGAAGGATAATGCATTACTATTTAAGTAACTATAAAGAAAGTGTTGGATCACTATATTACCTATTGAATAGCTTTAAATAATGCTGCGGTAATCCTACATGTTTATGTATTTGTAAACCAAAACCATCGATATATCTAGTTCAGGGGTCGGCAACCTGCGGCTCGAGAGCCGCATGCGGCTCTTCAGCTCGATGCACAAACATAAATAATTATTTTATTTTTAAAACTCATAAATGTATTAGCCTGCAACACTCAGTAATGAACGATATAATAATAAATATAAACATTAAATACTCGCTATTATATAAGAACATTTAGTTACTAGATATTTCAATGTAGAACTACTTCCTTGTTTCCTAATACGTGAGTTATTTAAATGTAAATAATTCCTGTGTTTGGATCATAGTTATCGGGGAACTGGTTTCCTACACTACCGTCCACCACCTTAGCGTGCTGTATGAAAGCCTCGAGTGTAAGTTAATCACTCATCGTAATATCACCGTTAATCACTCACCGACGGTAAGTGGCGCTCTCGTGAACCCGATAACACTACCGCCGGGGCGTCGCGTAGCCCCTAGCTGGGTTTAATTATCGAATGTGGTATTGTAGAGTGCTCCTTAAAACTAAGGTAGGCGCTTAGTGCTCACGGGATAGCCCTGGGCGCCAAATCGCACCCTGCAGTGATTCAATTTAGTGAGCGACTATAGCAATCCATTGTATCCGAAGCCTATTGCGCTGTTTAAAATTAACGTATGTTGCTCATAGTGTACAGCCTTAAAAAAACGAATGTAGGCGCTATAGTGCTCGCAGGTGAGCCCGGGGCTCTTCGGGTCACGCAATGGACGAGGTGCCGGCGGTTGCGTCTGTTGCGGTGTTGCCGCTGAATATAGTAGTACCCCTTACGACTTGGCAATGCAGAACGCCCAATTAACGGATGCCAAGTACTAATAGCCGCTCTGGAACTCTGGGCGTCAAAACGTGTATTGACAAAAAAATGCACTAACTCGGGTGTCGCCCATAAGAAATTTTAATTTTTTTTCGCAGAAATCTTCTCGGGAGTATTTTCATTTACTCCCCAAAGTTTCGTGGCACTCGGATAAACTGTGTCGAACCGCATACAACTTTTTTTCACCGTATATAGAGAAAAATCGCACCTCTACCCCACCCACCACCCCCTTCCCCTGGGGCGCCGCCCTTGCGAAATTAATTTTTTTTTTTTGCACACACCTTCCTAGGAGTATTCTCAACAATTTTCCCAAGTTATATATATATATATATATATATATATATATATATATATATATATATATATATATATATATATATATATATATATATATATATATAAAATATATATATACACAAAATCCTAATTAGAGATCATAATATTAATAATAATAATAATAATATAAAAATGTTGGCGGCTCTTTAAAAACTTGGAAATTTTGTAAATTGTAACTTTTGGCTCTTCTGTCTCAAAAGGTTGCCGACCCCTGATCTAGTTTCTTGCTAACTGGATGGTTCACTTGCTTTTTTTAGCGCAATTTCCAAACTGGCAATTGCGTTTAATAATGCGCCATTTCTGGATGGATGGATGGATGTTTGTCCGCAGCTTTAAGTCGCATCTCCTCCTCAACGAAGCAATATCGAGGACTAGTTCCAAAAGCAAATATGTTAAGCAAGTTCCAAGGATGATTGTGGGCCAAAAAAACTCCCGGAATTTCTTCCTGGATTTCCCGGAAAAGCCAAAAAACCTCGAACAAATGCAGTTTTTGCTCCATATCTCGGCAACCAGACCACTTAGCGACTTGAAACATTTATCAATCGATTCCTGCCATAATTTAGACCAATATATTGCCGAAGAAAATTTTCAAAAATACCCTTTCGTTCGGTCACAAATTTTTTTTATAAATTATTTAAACTGAGCATCTTGTAGGCCTAGGATGATATTTACTACTTATTTAAACTGAGCATCGTGTAGGCTTTTTTCCCCCTTTGATGCGTAGCTGGACAAGTTCTGCGGTACACGCTGCCATTGGCCAGATTCGCGCAGATCTCGCGAGGGGGCGGGGACTAGCTCTGCTCGTGTGGAGAGAAACGAAAAGGGGTGCAAACATCTACGGGTGATTCGTTCGGTCACAAAAAATTAATTAAGGAAATTGCGTTTAAATTGTCACTAGACTTTTTATTAACTTGTTTTTCTTGTTTTATACAAGGGACGTTATACTGTTACTTGTGCATGTGACTAAACCACTGCGGCCTTCAGTTATAAAAATCAACGTGTTCCTTGTGATCAGAAAAACTGTGTTATATTTCTATGTTACTAGCAAAATCTTCAAGAGTGATCGGGTTCAGGGGTTAGTGTTTTTGTGTGACTATGGACAAATAGTTAAGTGGATTGTTTATACCCAAATTACAAAGCAAAAAAAAAAAACGAAAAAAAACACTTCAAAATATTTTTCACCACTTCAGTTCACTTGTTCTCTCTTCCTGAACTAGTGTCTGATCGGAAAGTCATGTAATCAAGTCAAAACACCCCGCATGAGTCAATTAACTGCGTGACTTATCGTATCGCGAAAAACTTTTCAACAAGGAAGATTAAGGAAGTACGGTAAACATGTATTATTTGAACGTTTGATTAGACAAACACACTTTAAAAAATATGAAATTCTTATTTATTTCAAAACTTTGAACCCAATAGAATTCCGATTTTCATATTGCTTAGATTTATTTTCAAATTTTAACCATCCAGTTTGTTTTAAATAAAAAATAAGCTCTAAATAAGCAAGCTCATGTATATATATATATATATATATATATATATATATATATATATATATATATATATATATATATATATATATATACATATATATATATATATATATATATACATATATATATATATATATATATATATATATATATATATATATATATATATATATATATATATATATATATATATATATATATATATATATACATATATGGTGACAGGACAAATGATCTCAGGACAAATGATCTCATGATAAATGATCTCACAGTCAAAAGATACCAGGACAAAATATTAATTTATCATGGCAAATGATACTATGGGCAATTGATCTCAGACAAAATAACTCGGACAAAATGTATATATATATATATATATATATATATATATATATATATATATATATATATATATATATATATATATATATATATATATATATATATATATATATATATATATATATATATGTGTGTGTGTGTGTGTTTGTGTGTGTGCGTGTGTCTATCTGTGTCTATGTGTGTGTTTATGCGTTATACAGACCCTATGTGTATAGTCTGCACTTAAAATTTTTTTAAACCATTGAACTTTGATATAATAACTGTCATAGCTAAAACAGTTTTTTTTTTTAGTTTTTTCCCCTGTCAAAATGTGAAAGTCCGGTTTGTTCGGACTGAGAGTCAATTTATTTTCACATTAAGGTACACGGACATTTTTTCTTTGGGACCTTGGCTCAAAGTTGGGTTCAGGCTGATTTGCCTCCCCTCAGTGTCGTCGGTGGTATTGACAATATACCTGGGGTCAGGGCCCCCCAAGGGCGAGCCCAATCCCGTGACCTCTGACCCCACTATGGGGACAGAGTCGTAGGGGCTGGGGTTTCTTGGGATGCTGTACGCTGATTGAGAATCCTGGGTTGGATCTTCTAGAGGTGGCGATCCTGTAAAATATATAGATATGACATTATTGTGATGGGTTTGGATAATATGCTCAGTGGCGTAGCGAGGTCGGGTGTCACCCGGTGCGGCACTTAATGGTGTCACCCCCCAGAGGCGTAGCAACCCTTCCCGGGGACAAACTTTCAAATTTTCGATTTGCACCCCCCTACTCAAACATTTGATTTGCACCCCCTCCCCCCCCCCCCCCCTCAAGTTTGTCTTTATATATTTTGCTATTTTTTGTCTTGGTGTCACCCCCCCCCCCCTAAATGGTGTCACCCGGTGCGATCGGCACCCCCGCCCCCCCCCTCTTTCGCTACGCCTCTGAATATGCTGTCATACGTTTTTAATAGTATACTAAAACGATTGCATTAATTGTCGTAAAAGCCTTTAATAAATGGAATTTATAAAAGTAACATTGCTTCTATCTTAAAAACTACTGCATTAATTGTCGTAAAAGCATTTAATAAATGGAAAATATAAAAAATTCATAAAAAACGTTTTAATAACAAGCTTTTATGTAATAATGCACTAAAAAGTAGAAAATAAATTATAGACTACTATTTAAATAACTATAAAAAAAGCGTGGGTGTCTTCCGTAACATTAGTAAAGGTATCCAATAGATACTAAAGTGACCCACGCTTTTCTTTATAGTTATTTAAATAGTAGTCTATAATTTATTTTCTACTTTTTAGTGCATTATTACATAAAAGCTTGTTATTAAAACGTTTTTTATGAATTTTTTTTCAGTACTTTACATGTTTTATTTACAATAGAGTTACATGACTAAAAACCATTGCGCGCCTACTGAACATCACGTTCAGTAGGCGCGCAATGGTTTTTGAACGCAGCCATTGAAGCTATTGAAGGTGATGACGCGTGTGGTGTGGTTGGCTAGACATGCCTACTAATTCGGTCCAAATTTTTATTAATTCATAACAAATTAATTAGGCATCCAATTAAGTCAAATTTAGTTTCAGATTGCATTGTCTTCATGTCTTGACCCACGTGCCAACTGTGAATCGTATCGGTCAAGTAGAACTGTCCGAATTTTCACTCCTGCGTTTCCGTCTAGACAGACTGACGACTGACGAGGAAGTGAGTTAAATAAAAGCTTGTAAAAAAAATTCATAAAAAACGTTTTAATAACAAGCTTTTATGTAATGATGCACTAAAAAGTAGAAAATAAATTATAGACTACTATTTAAATAACTATAAAGAAAAGCGTGGGTCACTTTAGTATCTATTGGATACCTTTACTAATGTTAAGGAAGACACCCACGCTTTTCTTTATAGTTATTTAAATAGTAGTCTATAATTTATTTTCTACTTTTTAGTGCATCATTACATAAAAGCTTGTTATTAAAACGTTTTTTATGAATTTTTTTTTTCAGTACTTTACATGTTTTATTTACAATAGCGTTACATGACTAAAAACCATTGCGCGCCTACTGAACATCACGTTCAGTAGGCGCGCAATGGTTTTTGAACGAAGCCATTACGTGATGGCGCAGCTATTGAAGGTGATGACGCGTGTGGTGTGGTTGGCTAGACATGCCTACTAATTCGGTCCAAATCTTAATTAATTAATAAAAAATTAATTAGGCATCCAATTAAGTCAAATTTAGTTTCAGATTGCATTGTCTTCATGTCTTGACCCACGTGCCAACTGTGAATCGTATCGGTCAAGTAGAACTGTCCGAATTTTCACTCCTGCGTTTCCGTCTAGACAGACTGACGACAGACTGACGACAGACTGACGAGGAAGTGAGTTAAATAAAAGCTTGTAAAAAGTAACATTGTAGTTGGTATACATTGTAGTTGATGTGTATCTATAAAAACATACTACTACATTACTTGTCGTAAAAGCATTTAATAAATGAAATAAAAAATTTAACATTGCAGTTGATGTTTATCTTTCTTAAAAACTACTGCATTAATTGTCGTAAAAGCATGCAATAAATGGAATATGTAAAGTAACGTTGCAGTTGGTGCGTATCAAAATGGAAGGAGATTTTAATTAAATATCAGGACTACCGAAAACTAAAACATAATTTTTTACACAAACCTGTCATGCTGTTGTGTGAAAAGTACATTGGGGTATAAACATTTCTGAAAGGAAATAGATATACGTATAAAATATGACAAATATCATTAATTATTTTGCTATATTTATCAAGTATTAGTTAGAACCTCGAATAAATGCTGATAAGAATTATAAAATTCATTAAAAACAATTAAAAAGTATATAGATGTTTAAGTATTAAATGTATTTGTTTATCGTTTTTACTTAAAATATAGAATTTGAATTTCAACACTTACTTTTTATAAAATTATGGAGGGGCTACAATACACTAGAATAATTTTAACTAGTGGATAAATTATCAAATGATTGAAATATTTAAAAGAGACAAGAATATTTTTATAGACATTATTTTCAATTAGGTATAAAAAAGAGAAACAGAAATAAAGTGATTTTATTGCGTGTGCTAAGGCACATTAAATAAAATAAAATTAGCTTTTTGTTATTAACAATTTATTATGTGTAAATTAAAAATAAACCGGGAGTGATCTCCCCAAAACTTTCTCGAATATTCTTATATAAAATAACAGGGGATGGGAACTCGGGCTATAGACATGATTTTTAATCCATTTTAAATACTTAAAGTTTTAAAAATAGAATAAAATCTCGTAGAAAAAACAATTGCACACCAAGTGAACTAGTGAACGCCAAATAAAAAAGTGCACAATAGCGCGCAATATTATTAGTACTTTAAAAATTTACATTAGTTTTTTGAGAAATCGGAAGTAGCGTAAATTACTACTTCCGGTCAACGGAAATTATTCAAAATTTAACAAAAGGTAGAGAATTAGATCTTTTACTTACATGCGAAATTTCATTTATCTATCTGAAATAGTACTCAAGTTATAGGCTTTTGAAAAATTCAAAGTAGAAAAAGTACCACTTCCGGTTATTGGAAATCGCTCAAAAGTTGATACGGATCTACGATTTTGATAAAATACTTATATATTAAATTTCATCAACCTAGCTGTAACGGTACTCAAGTAATCGTGTTTACACACGGACACACACACACACAGACACACAGACATACGGACAGAATTGCAAAGGCCAGTTTTTCAGACTGGATCACGCATAAAACCTCTTAATTTTGATAAATCTGGATTGATAATTTTTGCCCGATTAAAATAAGTCCTCTATACTTCGGATGTGATGAAGGACTGAGGTGTAATACGGTGAAAATTGTTAAAATTTCAAGTGATTTTTGTGCACGATTACAATACTTTCTCTATACTTCGTATATACGAGAAAGTAAAAACAACATACCTTTCGTGTTTTAGCTCTCGGCCATGTTTGGCTGGAGAATTTGAAATTGTGTATTACATATGCATGGTATGTGTTACATATCAGTATTGAATATTGAATATATATGTATATATATATATATATATATATATATATATATATATATATATATATATATATATATATATATATATATATATATATATATATATATATATATATATATATGTATATATATAAATATACATATGTATATACTAGATAAAGGGCCCGTTGAGGGGAAAAAAACAACGGGCGCTAGACAAATAATGTTTTCTTCTCTAAACCGTAACTAAAACACCACCTCAACTTCACATTCAACAGCAAACGAAAAATGTGATTGAAAACGGATTTTTATCAATAATCGGCATTTATCCGGATCCGGAAATCTTGAGATAAAACACGTAATAGACCCAGCCTTTATCCTGGGACTAAAGTTTTCTAAATTTATTACTTTTTGAGTATTTGTTTTGAATATCGATCTACATTCACTTCTAAAATAAGGCTAATCTAGACCTGTTTACTACATTTGGACGCTAAACCTCAATCATGCAGTGTTTCTTTCAGATTTGTTTCTCTCGAAAGGGAGGGGGGAGGAAAGGGGGGGGGGGTTGAATTTTTCTTGAGGGCTTGCTAAATATTGGGGGGGGGAATACACTGGTAAAATTATATATTTCCCATATAAATTATATTTTGTTCGCTATAATATAGAGCGTTCGATGTTTAAAATGACAATATACATAAACCAATATACACACACACATATATGTACATATATATATATATATATATATATATATATATATATATATATATATATATATATATATATATATGTCTATTATATATATATTATATATATGTACATATATATATATATATATATATATATATATATATATATATATATATATATATATATGTCTATTATATATATATTATATATTATGTCTAACACATACGCTAACGCAAGCATACACCAATATATATATATATATATATATATATATATATATATATATATATATATATATATATATGTGTGTGTGTGTGTATTACCTATTAAATATTACCTCTAATGTAACAGACAGAAACAATCAAAAGTGATGTAGATACAGAAACAGCTACCACCAGCGAAAGTAAAACTATACTCATCTGACCTTCTGGTAATGATGCTGCTGTAGACAGAAATACATGTGTCATTACTTTTCTTTTTTGCGCAGATATTTTTAAATGTAATGTATTTAAAAAATTATATTCTTATAATATAATAATGTCCTCAAATTTATTGATATATAAAATAAACTAACAAATATAACATTTTTTATTATTATTTAACCCATGATTTATTTTTAATAACAATTTTAATAAAACAAAAATTAAGCTATTTTTACCGATTTCTATTTTAAAGGTGATTTCCTTTTCTTTTGTAATGTTACAGATATCGTAAGCCAAAGTGAGATTGAAACTCCCCTGCAGATATGTAGAGCTGATGTTGTAGGCAGCACAAAGTTCACCAGAAGCCACAAGTTCTTGTTGATGTTTAATGTTTGCTCTACAAGGTGACGGCAAATCTCGGCAACAGAACGTGATTGTACTCTCGTTGTTCTGAAGTTCAAATACATTCGAGTCTGGCTGTAGACTAAGACCATTGATGGTGTAGTTTAGAGCTGATAGGCCTGAAAACATAAAAAATAGGACAGCATCAAAAAATATAACAGACCACTTTAAATTGTAAAGTTCCCTTTCAAACCTGACGGTCTATGGGGCAAGAGAAGTAAAGTTAACCTCTTTCTGTGACCTCGGCATATGAACGGATACTGTGGTCAGCACTCTACTCAACCGCCTTTACGTGAGTTAGGTACACATCAGGGCTGGGTGGACTCAATGACGTTTTACTGACTTGAACCCGGATTCAAAAGTGAGCCTTTCTTATTAGTAGTTTAGCTCTCTACCGCTAAGCCTTTATTCGAGATAGTAGTTACTACTATTTATTTAGTGAATTTTTTTTATTTGAATAGAAATTTTAAAGACGAAAATGGTAAATTGGTCATTGTTGCTGTATAAAGGAGTCGAATAGATCAAGGTTATTTGTTGGTGCACCATTTATTTAGCTAAATATGCAAGAACTTTAAGTGATCAAAATATTAATATATTTCATTTTAAAGTTTTTTTAATTTAATTTAATAATAATTGTAAATTAAATTAAATTTAAGATGTACTCATGTCTCTGCGTTTTCGGTCTTAATAAAGATACTTTTTGTTTTATAAAATAGACTGTGTAAAATATTTTGATGTCAAAATTAAGCATTTGCATTTTTATTGGCAACAGCCGATAATTATATAAATCATCGGAAATAAATATTACATGTTCTTTACATGTGTTTGAAAAATAGAAATAAATTTGTTTAAATTTAAATATGAGAATATAAACATACTGTAAATTTTAGGTATTTTCTGTGTGTTGTTATATACTTGTCTGTCTTGGTCTTGGACAAGTTCAACTCGTACTTCAGCTTCACTGAATTGCTGCGTAGCTGTTATGTTAACGACAATGTTATACAACCCATTGGGTTCTATTTTACTGCAGTAACAGGTTGGAACTACTGGCTTCTCACATTGTTGTTTGAGGTTTACAATGCAGAGCTAGAAATAATGAATTAAATGATAACGGTTATTGGAAAGTAAAAGATCGAGTTCACAAAATCATTTGTAGTGGACATATTAATTAACACTGTCTTTTAAAGATTAACATATAAAAATGTAAACCAAATTAGAACTTTTCACCATGCCTTACATGTACGTCTCTTGTATTTGTATCAGCAGTAAAGCGCAGGGTGTAGTTTCTTTTTGTTAAAGAAACATTTACCGCAGCATTAAAGGTTATTAAATCTTGATTTTCTATCAAACATGTCGAGCATCTTGGACTCATCATTGAGGTGAAACTCATGTCCAGTCCCAGTAAGTTTCCTGAAGACGTGTTATATACTTATAATATATATATATAAATACATATATATATACATATATATATATATATACATATATATATATATACATATATATATATATATATATATATATATATATATATATATATATATATATATATATATACATATATGTAAATATACTTATATATATATATATATATATATATATATATATATATAAGTATATATTGAGACAGAGAGATGGTAGATAGCTATAGGCCTGTACATTATATATTATAAACACAGAATAGTTAACCAAATGACAAATAAAACATTAACGTTTACTTGGCAACACAGAAAAGCCCTTTGAACTTACCAAACAATACAGTGATTTGAAGAAATAAAAATTGAAAAGTATTTTTGTCCCACATTATATTGTCGGCGCCTAATGCGTTTCTTACTCTTGTGTAGATTATATAATCTTCCTTAATGGAATCAAGGTTCACGCTAATTTTTGCGTTTAAATCATAGATGTCGTCATTCACCATTAATCGCTATTGATGCTGGATGACTCATATCCATAAAGGCAAGTCGCTTCTATTGAATTGAATAGGTTTTGAATTTCCCCAAAAAAAAAATCACTGTTATTAGTGGTTTACCCTTTGGTATTTATTAAACACACATCATGCTTAAAATATCCTTTTTTTAATTTTTACTTATAAATTGCGAATGTAAAAAAAAAATTACCAGCTACATTAAATTAAATATAAGAGGTAAATTGTAAAATATTCTATAAGTTATGATGTTGTTTACAACAGAGGCGTAGCGAGGAGGGGGGGGGGGGCGGGGGGACTAATGTCCCCGGGTGCTGACCTTAGGGGGGGGGGGGAGCGCCAAATTGAAAGTTTGAAGAGGGGGGGGGGGGTGCAAATGAAAAGTTCGAGGGGGGTGCAAATCGAAAGTTTGAGGGGGGGGGGGTTGCAAATCGAAAGTTTGTCCCTGGGCGCCGGGAAGGGTCACTACGCCTCTGGTTCACAATAAGTCTGTATTGTATCAACAACAGACAGCATAACATTTTTTGTTTGTCAGTCACACTGCAGTGTCCACAATTGGTTTTGAAACGTGTTCTTTAGGTAGAGAAGTTACATGCCATTGACGTGCTTTAAATTTAAGTTGTTTCCACTCCCTCCTTTTCGATGTGTACTTGGTCTTATTGGCGCCCGGGGCCAACTATCAATATGCACCCCGATTCTCCCCGTAAAAATGTATACAGTTATTCGGGTTGACGAAAAGTGTCTCCCCCCTTCCCCCTCCCCCCACACACACATATACCGTCCATATTAGAAAAGATCAGGACTGTCATCTAACAGTTTTTTTTAATATGTTTCATACAATAAATGTAGATAAGTAATATATGAAAGTGGCAAAATATTGTCTTTACTTCGACTGTTAGGAGCTCAGAATAAGCTTTTTAATTGTTTATTTTTACTTAGTTTGGCTCCCCTTAAGGCTGACGCCCAATGCGACTGCCCCACCCGTCCTTATTGTATGGTAATGTGCTTAAATGACTCACGTATTGAAATAACCATAACAGTAAACTCATACATTAAACTTCTTATAGAATTTAATTGTATCTAAATTTCCATTACGCCAGTACATCTGCTTTTTACAAGACTACTATTTACTTCTTAACGTATGGTATTTATATCAACATTAGTAATACGAATATCTCATACATGTACAACATACCGTCATTTCTAGTCGTTGATTTTGTATTTGGTTACGCAGCTCATGATATAGTTTGCGAAGGGGGTGGAACATCATGAGACAATATACCAACAAAGCAAGCGCTAAAAACTTTTATTCTGTGCTGTTTGGATAATAAAATGATGTTTGTATTTAACTCTTTCAGACATTCCAGCCTCTAGAGATACATTTACTTTATATATTTTCCATTCTTCTTTTTCATATTCATTTTTCAAAGTGGAAATAGTTGTATATCTTTTTCTAATAGCTCTTTAAGACATCCGTTTTAAGTTCAATGTTAAATTGTTGTCTAAATCGTGTCTAAATCATATCTAAATATTGTCTAAATCGCACCTCTCTTACACTTTCTTTTCTTTCCCTATGTCTTCAGCTCTTTCTTTTTCTCTCACCCTTTAGTTCTTACCCACCCCCCCCCCATATTTTCCCGTTTCTTTAAATATTTCTCCCCGTTTATCTTTCTATATCAATAACTCTTTAGCTCTCTCTTTACCTTTCTTTCAACTTCTTTTGCTCAGTTTCTATAATTCTCTATCAATTACTATGTAGTTCTCTTTCGGTCTCTATCTCTATCTATCTATCTCTCTCTCTCTGTCTACCTCTCCCACTTTCATGATTTCTTTTTCTTTCTTTTTCTAACTCTATTTCTTTCGATTCCTTTTCTGTCTCCTACACGCTCTCTGTTACTAACTCACTAGATCTTTTGTATCTCCTTTTCCCTTTCTCTATTTATCTCTCCCCCGCTCTCACAAATGTGTGTATCGTTCCATGCGTCACGTTCTTTAACAATTTAACTTTCCATTAAAGGAAATATGTTATTACACAACAACTCGAATGAGTAATGACTGTCATATTATTTTTTTTTGCCTTATTTACCATAACGTAACACAACCTAATTCATTATCATTACCTACTGTGCACAGTGTTTAAGTTCCATGGAGCATTTATTTTAACATTGTAAATTAAGGGATAGTTTTCATTAAATTAATTCTATTCGACACAGAAATTTAAAGAAAAAAAACTTCTAGTGCTTAACAAAAATAATTGAATGTTTACCGTAACAGAAGTAAAACAAAACACACATAGATGTGACAATTTTCTTAAAAAATCGATTTAGAGTTTATTTACTTCCTGAAAACTATATCTGAAACTGCACAATGAAATGTAACTTAAAGAGCAGGGTATCTCGTTTATATTTTAAATTAATTTAAATTAAACCTTCATGTGTAATACACTGCTGCGTAATTTAGGTACATTTAAAAATGGAAATAGCAGTCCGAAGTGCTGAATAAAACTTACGTAGCAAACATGTGGATGGGTATAACAGCATGCATTGTTCTATTGTGCATCTGTTGTCATGGTAAGTTGTTTTTATAAAAATAAATGTTACGGTACAACACTATGAAGTACCAGAACATGACTTCAAAATAACTATGATTTAGTAAATAAATACTTATATATTTTCATTATTTATTTTATTATCTCCAATAATGGTATATTTTCTTTTATACTAGCATTTCGAATAAGAGAAACGAATTATTTTTAAACTATGTAGGCCTACTGAACATTTCCATTTCCATTTCTTTTAAATCAAATATATTCCTTGCCGTTTATCCAGCAGGTTGCATCAGTTCCAGCATAACTTTAAATGCACCAGACACCTCCACATGTGCAGGTGTGATACAGGTCAATGCTAAAGTAAAGTTTACTGCAGTTGTAGATTTTTCATCATGGCATGACAGCTGGTCAAAGTCTGTGTTGTTTGAATTTAAACCAACAAGTGCTGCAACGTTTACACATGTAAGAATAATTAAACCGTTGCTCTAAATATTATTTTGAATATTTTGATATTCTGATTTTACTTTGAAATGTTTACACTATATAACTTTATTTTAATGCAATAAATACTTGATGCTTTACTTTTTTAGATGTTCTGTACAGTTCATAAAGGGGCTAAAGCTACATTTGTTTACACTAATAAGAAAAAGCATTACTTAGAATTATATAATTTTATTTATCATTACTAAGATTTATATCGTTTATTTAATATTTCTCATTAGTGAAGTAAAAGTTTCCCTTTCAAACCTGACGGTCTATGGGGCAAGTGAAGTAGAGTTCACTTGTTTCTGTGACCTCGGCATATTTCTCATTAGTGATTCAAATATTAATTGTGTGAAACGAATCGATAAACAGGACATGAGTAGTCAGGCATGACTTAGAAATCAAACATAATAGTTACGTAAAACATTAAAAATTATTAACCTGTGTTGAGTTGTACTGAATACACAATTCATACATTATATATTTGTATTGTTATTTCATTAAAATTGGCAGCTTTGTGTGGTCAACTTAAATAACACAACGTGTAGCTATACAAGTCAACTGATGTGCTACTGCTCTCACAACACAAACAAAATATATCACATCGTGATCAACGCCACACTGTATGAGAAGAACAGCAGGGCAGAGATACGTGGCTATGTCAAATACACGGAGGGGCAACAATGGTATAGTGAAGTACAGAGATATCCACCATTCTATAGTGAGTAGAGATTCTGTTGCGGATCCTCAATGTATACAAAACAGCGACCCCTCCCGGCGCCCGGGGAAAAACTTTCGCTTTGCGCCCCCCCCCCCCCTCAAACTTTCAATTTGGCGCCCCCCTAAGGTCGGCGCCCGGGGACATATGTCCCCCCCCGCCCCCCCCCCTCGCTACGCCTCTGATACAAAAGGTAGTATCACTGACAAACAAACTGAGTCTAAGTATTACCACTTCTATTGACGTGTTTATTGATTTTTTATATTGATGGACATTGCATAAACCAAAAATCATCCATTCCCTTTAAGATTTTTAAACTTGATCTATGTTGCCTTGAGTTATTGGCGACCTAATTCAGTTTTTCTTCCAGACTTTTTTCTAAGGGGGGGGGGCACTTGATATTTTCGGGGGGCGGACATTTCCCAGGGGGGGCGGTAGACTTTCTTAGGGGGGCGAGCCCTCCCCCCCCCCCCCCCCCCCAAAGAGATGCCTGGAAGAAACTCTGACCTAATTCCTTACGTCCGTAGTGTTTCAATTTAGTGCAAGTCTGATGAATTAGTTCACTTCAACTGTCTTCGGCATTTGCAGTTTTAATTTGTAACCAGATGTTGAATTTTCGTTAGAAAAGCATTCAACCTAATCATTACCTGAAGTTAGTTGTCTATGAATTTAGACATACCCTTTCATCCAGATTATACGATAACAATCTTTGTTGACTGTAATAGATTGAAATAATTGTGAGGTCAAGGGAACTCACTCTCCTGTATTAGTATTATATTTATATTGTTATCTTGAGTGATGTCCCTTACATGTTGTTATGTATATAAGTCTCTCGCCACTTCTCACTTCCTCTCTTACCAACATGGCGTCTGTACATAATAAAGATTGTTAACAACCAACGCGGCTTCTCGTCAGTCATTACAATCCACTTCATTTGGCGACGAAGGATAAACATCTACTAGAAAGAGCACCTACTTACGCAAAAAAGAGGTTTGCTAGAGCTTATTAGCTAATTATTTCTAGAATTATGGCGCTGTATGGCCAAATAAAAGAATTTGATGCGAATGATGAAATCATTCAAGATTACCTAGAGAGGTTAAGCTTTTACCTAGAAGCTAACGACGTGACGATAGAAGCCAAAAAGAGAGCTATTTTGTTAACAGTCATAGGGCCTCAACAATTTAGGCTACTAAAGGACTTATGCGCACCAGCTAGTCCAGATACCAAGAGCTTTAACGAGCTGAGCAAATTGCTAACAGACCACCATGCGCCTACCCCATCAAAGTTTTTATGTAGAGCTAGATTTGACAGTAGGACTCGTCAACCAAACGAGTCAATATCAGAATATGTTGCTGCTTTACGTCATTTAAGTAGATTCTGTGAATTTGGAGAAACGCTGTCTGACAGACTATGTGAAAAGTTTGTGACAGGTGTAAACAGCCCTGATATTCAAAGAAAGTTGCTGCTCGAGTCAGATCTAACATTAGAAAAAGCAATACAACTTGCAACTTCATACCAGCAGTCATCAGATGCGGCGAGATCTTTAGCACCTTCAGAGATCCATGCAGTAAACAGCAGGTTAGTCAATAAACATCAACCCCATCAGAGCATTCCAACTTATGCTAAACAGCCTGCTCGTTCAAATCCTAGATCTAAATCTAGTAATAATTATCAAAAATGTCATCGATGCAAAGGTCCCCATGCATCTCATCGGTGCAAGTTCAAGTCTGCAACTTGTTATAAGTGCGGTAAGCAAGGTCACATTGCCAAGGCCTGCTTTGCAAAGTCTTCGTCTGTTGCTAAATCTAGCCAGTCAAGACAGTACCGCAACCAAGGGCAGCACTATGTTAACTCTCACCAAGACTACCTAACCCAACCAATGAACCACTCTACCTGTGAAAATGCTCAAATTGATTCGCAGCCGGATTTCAGCCTGTTCTCTGTGAAATCAATAAGTCATGCTCCCATCAATGTACAAGTTAATATCAACGGTAAGAGCATCAGCTTCCAACTTGACACTGGAGCATCCCTAACAGTCATCACAAAGAAAGATTTTGACGCTGTCATAGGAGGATCAGTGCCTCTACAGCCATGTCACAAGTGTCTAACAACATTCACTGGTGACAATGTTCCGGTAATAGGAGAGTGTATGGTTCATGTAAGTTATAATGGTCAAAGTGTTAAACTTCCTCTTCTTGTGGTTGAAGGAAATGGACCGCCATTACTAGGTAGGAACTGGTTAAGTGATCTTAAGTTAAATTGGGAGAGTATTTGTTCATTGAAGAATGTAAAAGAATCTAGTCTTACTTCACTAGTTAAAGTTATATCTGAAAATAAATGTGTTTTTGGTAACTCTGGATTACTAAATGATAGAACAGTGAAGTTAAGCATTAAAGACACAAATCCAAGATACTGCAAAGCTAGAGTTCCACCTTATGCAATGAGGAATAAAATTGAAAATGAGCTAAGTAGATTGGAATCTAATGGCATCATAAAGAAGGTAGACTATTCCGATTGGGCGTCGTCCATTGTGCCAGTGTTAAAGAAGGATGGTTCTATAAGAATTTGTGGAGATTATAAAACTACACTGAATAAGCAAATAGAGCTAAATAGGTACCCTATACCTAACATTGAGGAAATCTCTTTGAATTTGGCAGGAGGAGACAAATTCACTGAATTAGACTTTAGTCATGCTTACACTCAACTAGAACTGCATCCAGATTCAAAAGTCTATACAACAATAAACACACATAAAGGACTCTACCAATATGAAAGACTATGTTTTGGCATATCATCCAGCCCTGGAATTTTCCAAGCTGTCATGGACAGTATTTTTAAGGATATTCCAAATGTTTGTATGTACTTTGACAATGTGTACATAACTGGTAAGAATGACACTGAACATCTTAAAACACTTGATAAAGTATTGAAAATTGTTGGTGAAAAAGGTTTAAAGATAAACAAAGATAAATGTCAATTCATGTTGACAGAAATTAGTTTTCTTGGTTATATATTAAGCAAACAAGGTATCAGACCTCAACCTGAGAAAACAAAAGCCATTAAAGAAGCACCCAAACCTGAAAATACCCAACAACTAAGAGCTTTTTTGGGCTTGATAAATTACTATGCAAAGTTCATAGGAAATCTGTCTGGTAAACTATCACCACTGTACAAGCTGCTACAGAAAAATGCAACTTGGCACTGGGGTAAACAACAACAAGCTGCTTTTAACACAGCAAAAGAGGCTTTGTCTGCTGACACCTTACTAACTCACTATGACCCAGGGAAAAGACTTATATTAACATGTGATGCTTCACCAGATGGTGTAGGAGCAGTCTTGTCCCACATGGATGAGAAGGGTGACAGACCCATTGCTTTTGCCAGTAGATCTTTGAATCAGGCTGAGAAAAATTATTCTCAGTTAGATAGGGAAGGCTTAGGCATCATTTTTGGTGTTAAGAAATTTCATAAGTTTCTGTTTGGTAGGAAGTTCACCATCTTTACAGATCATAAACCATTGCTAGGTTTATTTGGAGAAAACAAAACCCTACCTGAGCATGCCTCACCAAGAATTCAAAGATGGGCTATCACACTAACTGCATACAATTATGAATTGAAATACAAACCTGGATCTGAGAATAGTGCAGATAGTCTTAGTAGATTACCTTTAAAAAACCAAAGCCTGAGCTATGTACCAGAAGATGTTTTTGTTCTCTTCACTATCATGGATAACTCCAATATAAATGTGAATGATATTAAGAGAGAAACACAAAAAGATGAGTGCTTAATAAAAGTATGTGAGTACTGTAAGAATGGTTGGCCTGAAGAGTCAGTGAATGAGGACTTAAAGCCATATAAAATAAGAAAAACAGAGTTAAGTCTAGAAGATGGATGTATACTATGGGGGTCAAGAGTAATTATCCCCAAAATGTTACAAAAAGAAGTTTTAAGAACTTTACATGATACTCATCTTGGTTCTTCCAAAATGAAGAGTCTAGCAAGATCATGGTTCTGGTGGCCACATATGGATGCTGATATTGAAAAATATGTAAAACTTTGTTCAGGCTGTGCACAACATTCAAATCAACCAGCTACAGCACCTTTGCAAAACTGGGACTGGCCAATTGAACCATGGAAACGTATACATATAGATTTCGCAGGACCTTTCATGAACAAAATGTTCTTAATTGTTATTGATTCACATTCTAAATGGTTAGAAGTTAAAATCATGAACACAATCACTGCAAATGATACCATTATAGAACTTAAGGAAATATTTTCAACTCATGGATTACCAGATCAAATTGTTTCAGATAATGGGCCTAGTTTCACAGCTCATGAGTTTAAACTGTTTTGTGTGGCAAATGGTATTGAGCATATAACCACATCCCCCTATCATCCTGCTGGGAATGGTTTAGCTGAAAGAGCGGTAGGCATATTCAAAACCGCTATGGTAAAAATGAATACCGGTAACAAGTTTTCTCTTAGAGAAAGAGTAAACAGGTTCTTAACCAAATACCGCACAACTCCTCATATAACAACAGGTGTTGCACCATGTGAATTGCTATGTGGTAGGAAAATTAAAACTCATCTTGACCTACTACATCCAACTGTTCAAAGGTCTGTTTCCCAACATCAACATACACAAAAAGTAAATCATGACAAATCATCCATTGAAAGAGAATTTGCAGTTAATGATAATGTGTATCTGAGAAATTATGGGAGAAAGGAAAAATGGATACCAGGTCAAATTGTTCAATGTACAGGACCTGTGTCTTATAAAGTAAAAACAAATGATGGACTTATTGTCCGTAGACATGCAGACCAGTTAAAAATAACTTGTGCAGATAATAAGTGTGAATCTATCAATCCCACCAAGTCTGATCAGTTCACACCAACTCAGTTTGTTCCACAACCAAGTTCTGTTGATATGAGTGAACCAAGTTGTCTGGAGTCAGGAAATGTAAATTCTGGAGTTAATGATTTAAATCCTAGACCTCCTGAGATAGAGAATCCAGATGGTCAGAATATTGAGTCACCAAATCAAAAGCCACTGAGAAGGTCAAACAGGACAATCAAAGTCCCAAATAAGTTAGACCTATGATTTTAAAGGTCAAAAGGACTTTGACATTATTGTTTTGTATTTTGATTATGTTGTAGCATATTGTGCATTGTTTGTAAGGATGTAATCTACCATAGTGTTCATGTTACAATATAATTGGTGATTTTAGGATACTATCAATTGTTCTATTGAGAGATGTGTTATTGTGTTCTAAGGGTAAAGGGATGTAATAGATTGAAATAATTGTGAGGTCAAGGGAACTCACTCTCCTGTATTAGTATTATATTTATATTGTTATCTTGAGTGATGTCCCTTACATGTTGTTATGTATATAAGTCTCTCGCCACTTCTCACTTCCTCTCTTACCAACATGGCGTCTGTACATAATAAAGATTGTTAACAACCAACGCGGCTTCTCGTCAGTCATTACAATCCACTTCATTGACAAACACGAGGAACTGGTTAAATAAACAATAAATAAAAGTAATACAGACACTGGGTTTACAACATGTCACAGGAGCTATTGGTTGGTCACTGGTCACTGCGGCTGCTTGGTCTTCTTCATCACACCAAGGACGTCAGTAGTTGCAATGTTGTTTTATTTAGTTCAGTTACATACATTTTTATCAAAATACCATTAAATTTAACACGTACAATTATATATTTTCCACACTAAAACAATTATTAACATTTTACTGAATACAATTAACAAATACGTTAGTTTCATCCTTATCATCTTCTACTCACGGTGCCAAATAATAAAAATAAGCTTCTCCGTTGAGAACAAATGCGGTAGCACCACAATCTATCTATCTCTCTCTCTCTCTCTCTCCTCTCTCTCTCTCTCTCTCTCTCTCTCTCTCTCTCTCTCTATATATATATATATATATATATATATATATATATATATATATAATTCTCTTCTTTGGGACCATAGAAAACACCAAGCTGTAAGCGCGCCTCCAAGCAGCCCCATCTCTTCCTCTCTAGGCATATCGCTACCACACCCATCCCCACATGGTCTGGTGAGCTGTGGTTCACGCTAAATGATTACAATCGTAGAGCCGGGTTTAGTTACGGCTATTAGTGGCAGATAATTTAGTTTAAAACTATTTTAAACTTAGGGAGGTAACTAAGAGGAGGCTGCTTTCACGGGGAGGGGGGGATGGAGGGTAGGGGTTGGGGGAAAGGAGGGGGGGGGGGTTATAGTCCGTAATGACCTACTAATAGTGTTTTAAAGCAAATATGTTCAGTGGCAGCATTGGTACTGTCGAATTCACAAATTACGAATTACTGAAAAGTAGAACATAAAACAACTAAATAGCGGCGTATGATACGCCGCGGGTCGACTCAAATTATTATTTACTCCTTGGCAAGTGCCTTAGCACAAAAAATACGTGGACCTCCGAAAAGGGGAGGAGGTAGAGTGACTGGACTATAGCATCCCTACCCTACAGGTCACATGACTCAGACATCGCTCTCCTGTCGCAGTCCCATTTCAATATCCGGTCAGCATTAAGATACTGCTAGACACCAGGTCCAGGGGTGTACCATTACTTGTGGGTAACAAGAAGGGGGTGAAGTGGAGACAACACGATTGATATTTAGAATCTATCAAAATAATTGAAAGGAGTCTAACTCTCCCCCTCCCCCTACTCGAGTATTTAAAGGAGTGCTACAGGACCCCTATTTGACTATTTAAAAGAGTTATGAGCCCAGCTTTTAAACTATATATAGAAGAGCAGAAAGATATTTAGAAATTGGTTTTACGATCTGTTCACACTGCAGTTCGTTTTTTTAAGTCAAAGCAACAGCGTGGGTTAATGATTGTAGAACAGTCACCTAGAGTTTTTTTTTCCACAACACTACTTACATGTTGCACAATTTAAACTTACTTTAGAATTTTAGAAACATTATTTATCTAAGGACGAATTTTTATTTTAGCCATATTACCGGCTAAACATTTGATGAAGAGTTGCTAGTTTCCTACAATTTCATTTATCTGTCCCGATTTTCAGACATATCAGCTCTAAACTTCACCATCAACGGTCGCAGCCTACAGCCAGACTCAAAAGTTTTTGAACTAAAGACCAACGAGAGTACAATCACGTTCTGTTGCCGAGATTTGCCGTCACCTTGTAGAGCAAACATTAAACACCAACAAGTTGTGGCTTCTGGTGAACCTTGTGCTGTCTACAACATCAGCTCTACACATCAACAGGGGAGTTTCAATCTCACTTTGGCTTCCGAATTTTGTAAACGAACCAAAGAGATGAACGTCTGGTTTTCCTATGGTGAGTAGAACTACACGTAGTAGCAACAATGTATAAATTAGTTCATCATTGAAACAGTGGCGTAGCTAGGATTTTTGGGCCCCTATGCAAAAAGTGTTAGTGGGCCCCTTCAGAGGCGTAGCGACCCTTCCAGGGCACCGGGGACAAACTTTCGATTTGCACCCCCCCCCCCACTCAAACTTTCGAAAAAGGGCCCCTATTTACCTTGGGCCCCTATGCCTTGCTTACGCTAGCTTTACGGTAGCTACGCCACTGCATTGAAATCTATTTGTTATAAAAATTCATTTTCTACAATAATTACACTCTAAACATGTTATATGATGATACGCATTTTTCATTATATTTTTACAGAAAACAACGACGAGGGCTTAACGGAAAATAATGTCTTAATAGTGTCACTCGTTACAGCTCTCATTGTCCTTATCATTGTCATACAAGCTTCTCTCTTCTACTTCAAGGGTAAGATTAGACAATGTTGTCAAATATAACTAGATGGTCTTGATAAAGGATAGGTTTTATGATAAAGATAAGATGGGCACTGTTGATAAAGTTACTGATAAAAAGTTACTGATGATAAAAAACACTGATAATTAAGAACGAAGAAGAAGAGAAGAAGAAGATAAAGTTACACTGGACTGTGTTGAAAAGGGTAACTTAGACAGTGTTGATAAAGATTACTTGAGCAGTTTTGATAAATGTTTGTTTTGATTGACATTTTTTGTGAGAGTACACTAGGCAGTTTTGATAAGGGTTTAATGGACACTGTTGGTAAATTTAAGATGGAAAGTGTTAATTAAGACTGGGCAGTGGTATTGAAGTATTACGAGAAAAAAGGTAATTAAGCCTAATTTATAATGTTTGAACTTCGTTAAGAAGACACATATTTTTGTGTATACACTCCACAGCACTTCAGAAATCGAAAGAGAACTCGATGAGGTATGTATTCCATTTTTCATTTGTATAACTTATCTTTTTTATAGAGTCTAAAGAAGAAAAATGTATTTGTACGTAACATATATTTATCAATCATATAACATTTTAAATACAATTTACTTTTAATTTTCTTTTCTACCAAAATGTACAATTTTGCATTTATGTATTTTGTGTATTGTATTTATCTAAATCATTTTTAAGAAGAAAAACAAAACTATTTTTCCTTAAGTTTATCCCTTTATGAATAGTTAATACAAGATAAAATAAACCTTAGCAGTCATTAATCTTATAAATCATAATAAGCTTCCCAAGCATTTCATATGTCTGATGTTGATAATGCCTGTTACAAATATATATCACCGAATAACTTATGAGCACCATTTTAAACTATTTGTTTCATCTATATATGTTAAAGTGTTTCTTTGCATTTTTTCTTCAGCGTAAATGGCGTGTCTTTAAAAACTGTGTCGGAGAATGTAAATGGTATGGAATTAAACAAAAACATTTTTTTAAATTTAAACTCTTTAGACATATTAAGACTGTATGTTAATCTAGTAAAATACGATGACTTGTTGGTGTTGAATTGATCAAGTTATTATAAAAAATATAATCATATAAACTGCTTAACTAAATCATAGGCTTAAGATTATTCCAGAATACATGACATAAGATTTCCACATCTAAATGTCGAGATATTACAAATGATGATTTAAAGCCAAATTTACATTTCACATTGGAACTGTATTACTTATGAAGAAATAGATGTATGTCAAATGCTAAGTAAAAAACGTGTTTGTAAAGTAAATTTCATATCAATAGTAAATACTGCTTGTTAAATTATAAGGTGTAGTCTAGTTTGGATCTCGTTTTGGGCTCGTAAGAACATGACTTTTAGTAAGGGGAAAGAGGGTTTAATGCTGATAACATTATTCATTTATTTGCTGAGGTTACAGAAAAAAATTGAACTCTACGTCATCTGCTCTATAGATCTATGTCTGAATCAGGCTTTGCTTTTTGTATTTTTGTAATCCAATATGCCCACTTAGCACATGTAAACAAATGCATTCTCATTTATTAAATAGATTTGTTTTCATTAAAGTAAGAAAAGTGTACTATTAACTTATGAATTGTTTTATTCAGCGGACGCCAAAGACGACGGTTTCTCTGAGGAAGATTCATACAGCGATGGTTTCTACAGCAGCGTTGATTCTGTTGGAAAATACTGAACTAGTGCTGCCATATGTCTGGTTTCTACAGCAGCGTTGATTCTGTTGGAAAATACTGAACTAGTGCTGCCCTATGTCTGGTTTCTACAGCAGCGTTGATTCTGTTGGAAAATACTGAACTAGTGCTGCCCTATGTCTGGTTTCTACAGCAGTGTTGATTCTGTTGGAAAATACTGAACTAGTGCTGCCATATGTCTGGTTTCTACAGCAGCGTTGATTCTGTTGGAAAATACTGAACTAGTGCTGCCATATGTCTGGTTTCTACAGCAGCGTTGATTCTGTTGGAAAATACTGAACTAGTGCTGCCATATGTCTGGTTTCTACAGCAGCGTTGATTCTGTTGGAAAATACTGAACTAGTGCTGCCATATGTCTGGTTTCTACAGCAGTGTTGATTCTGTTGGAAAATACTGAACTAGTGCTGCCATATGTCTGGTTTCTACAGCAGCGTTGATTCTGTTGGAAAATACTGAGCTAGTGCTGCCATATGTCTGGTTTCTACAGCAGCGTTGATTCTGTTGGAAAATACTGAACTAGTGCTGCCATATGTCTGGTTTCTACAGCAGCGTTGATTCTGTTGGAAAATACTGAACTAGTGCTGCCATATGTATGGTTTCTACAGCAGCGTTGATTCTGTTGGAAAATACTGAACTAGTGCTGCCATATGTCTGTTTAGACCTGAGCAATCAACCAGATAATGTGAAGATTTACAAAACATATGATTGACTCTTGATAGATTTATCTGTTAAGGCACAGGTTTAGGTAATAAGGGCAATCAACTGAAATTTGAGACGTGAAATAGTGGCACCATTTGGTAAAATGACAAGCTAATGACATTTTTTGCAAATGTCTTCGTGGTTTTTTTTTGTGGACCAGTCCTTTAATTATTTTTTTTATGCTATTTGATGCGATAATTTAAATTTTGTTTGGCATTTGGCTACTCGGTACATGTTCGCACTAAATTTTATTTGATTGATATAGACTTTAATAATGCGTTATATTTAAATGAAGTATGTATATTATATTAATTAGGAGTAATGCTAGATGCATAGCGTCAGCTAATTATAAGGTTAGAAGGTTCCTTTGTATGTGTATCAAGTTTTTGAACATCATTAGCAATTAGATATATGTCCTCATGTAAATGTTTTGCTACTTTTAATGAACACAAGAAGTTTATGGTTTATGATTTGTGTTAATATATATATATATATATATATATATATATATATATATATATATATATATATATATATATATATATATATATATATATATATATATGGAGAGAGAGAGAGAGAGAGTAAGAGAGACATACAATGGCCCCATTGTTTTTCTCATTAATTATCTTCTTTAGTACATTCCGTCCGTGAAACTGTGAAAAAAAGTCTCTCTCCTGCCATGATTACCATCATGAAGCTATACAGGACTTGACATTAGTTTTAAAGCGTAAATATGCGGTAAAGACCGTCTTAGCTAATGAGCCTTCAATATTTATTTATGTGTATCTAAGTTAGCGTATTTAAGGGGAAATATTTGCATGCACTTTAGACGCTTTTGAAAATATGGTTACCGTGGCAACAGCGTCTGTCTTGAAAAAAAAACGTTGTGTGGAGGTCCAAATTAAAAAAAAAAACTCACATACTGAGCATTTAATCATTAATCTTTTTTAATAATGTCAACTGGCAAATTTTAGTATCAAAAACACTATTGAAAAAAATTTAATTTTGTTATTTGTCCAGACTAAATTTTGAAAATGAATGATGCATGCTAATACTTTCCCTAGATTACCATCGAATAGATAAATAAATAAATAAAGCTGAACAATTATTTAAGTTTTTTTTTCAGGAGCCTAACCCTTTAAGATGTGAGTATTTTTGTTGCATTTGTATATTTAAGTTTGCTGGGTGATAGTTTAATATACTCGTCATTTTTGTGTTTATATTATAGCTTTGCTTTTAAATAAATATCAGTTTCCGAATGGAACTCCGCATAATATTTTTTTATTTTGTTCTCACAAAATCGTTAGTTATGCATATATTTTCAAACAAAAACCAGTTTAAAAAAAATTGTATCCACTAAAGCAAGTACAAAAAAAGGTGGAGTATGCTCTTTCTCAATAATTAATTTTTGTCTATATATTTGATGCTATATTTGAAGTAATAATTTAACTTTAAAAATAATTTCTATAATTGTGATTTCACGGTAATCTCAAAGTACTAGCCTTCGACACGTCATTTGAAATGCATAGAATATATAAAAAGTTCGCTTTGTTTTTTCCGTTTGTTTTGTATGATTTTACGAAACAATGAAGATGGCGCTGGGTGTGTCACATCTAATGGGTTAAGGTGAAAACACAGCAGTGTTGGTTAGCTGGACGACTCAGGGTATCAGGAAACAAGGAAATACAAGAGAGGCGTGACGTAGAGACGCGCAGAAGAAAAAAAAGTTCTAAAATTTTGTTTGAATATAAATAGAAGCATTATAAATCGGCGTTGAGCGAAATTAGAAATGGGTTAATTCAGACTACCTATTACCGAAATAAGAACTTCCTCTAATAATAGGCTAAGAATTAGATTATTTAGATATAAATTGAAGTCGGGACTTTTTGGCGAGAGAAAAGTATATATAGTCAAGCAGTGGCAAAGGCAGGGGGGGAGGGGGGTAGGGGGGGGGTCATAATCCCCCCCCCCCCCATAGACCCCTCGGTATATATATATAAAGTATGAGGGGGATGCAAATCGAAAGTTTGAGGGGGGATGCAAATCGAAAGTTTAAGGGGGGGGTGCAAATCGAAAGTTTGAGGGGGAGGGTGCAAATCGAAAGTTTGTCCCCGGGTAAAAATTGGAACTCCACCCCCCCCTTGAGACGTTCCTGGCAACGCCACTGTAGTAAAGTTGATAGATTCTAGAGTCTGTTGGAAAGCTTCAATTTTACATGCGTGTACTTTCATAGTTGTTTGACTCATCGATTCTATTATTAATCGCACAATCGAGACGTTACATTTTATGGTCTTGTTTAACTTTTTTATTTTTTTCTTGTTCTGTATTCTTTAACTTTATTCAGGTATTATTGATCTAGTTTTATTCTTCTTCTACGTTCTTAACTTTAGTGTTGGAAGAGAATCCCTCCAACACAAATTAAGTATGCGCGTCAACTTATTATGCGCCATTGAGGTCATTGACTCCGATTTCAGCCTGCTTTTCTTTTTGGATTTGCTTCCATAGCCTATGTCCAACCAAGAACAAACTACAAGGCAGTAGTTGTTTGATTTTGTAGTTGTCTCTCCTAGAATAGTGGCTATACCCAGCTGTCGAGCCTTATCTGCTCGAGGTTTCGAACTATATAAATTATATAAATTTCATTTCGTTCGGGGGGGGGGGGGGCGGTAAAAAAATTTCGGGGGGGCTTCGCCCCCCCCCCCCCCGAAGAGATGCCTGGAAGAAACTCTGTTCGAACTTGAGACATTTCGGTTCAGCAACCAGTTGAGTAAGCCCCACATTACACTACAGCTCCTCTAAAATATCTATTACGTTATATAACGAGATCAAGGGTAAGAAATTAAATGAAACTACAATGTATTCAGAAACTCATCGTAACTACCCGTGAAAACAAAATAATGGAACAAATTTAAAAAAAACTAAAGAGTTTTCGTTTTTTACAATCATAGTTTATTATCGAAATTACAATCTCAAAAGATTTTGGAATCAACACAATTTAAACAAAAAAAAAAGCCTGTTTTAAAGTTTAAGAACTATACATTCCTTGTTTCTGATTCAGTCAAATCTTCTGAAAAAAAGTTTAACAAACCCTGTTAACAACGCATACACTTCTATACTGAGATATGTAGTGGTGTTTTGTCATCATCATTATTTATGTGACCCAATATGAAGCATGGAGACTCAGTGGCACATTTCAATCGTATTTAAGACCGCAAAATTTAATGTTTTTTTACCGGACCCAGAATTTTTGAAATTCATAATAAATTAGTTTGAAGGTCTGCTCTAAACATTTTAGCTAAGTATCCCAAAACATGGTAGAAGATTACAAATTCACTCTTAATTGTGCTTAAAATATAATTACTTTATGAATGGTGGAAATACTACAAAAAGGTTAATTTTTCGAAATGGTTGCACATTTACCAAGACTTCCTCAACATTTTTTAAAAAGTGAAACACATATGCGAATATAACCTTTAAAAAGCTACAGAGAAATTTTCCTAACGAGTATTATAAGATTATTTTTTTTTTTACCATAGCCAATCCTCTTAATTTAAGAATGCGCGTACAACCACACCATCTGTATTATTGAATCGTCAATGTGGTAAGTCTCGTGAACAAAGCTTACCTTCTGGCTTTTCAAGATCTTCCAGTTTGGAGATGATTATAGTAAACAGTATACAAATTAATAGTATGTAAAGCAGATTAGTTTCTGTGATCGGTGAAGGCAGAATTAGAACATAATCTTCTGTCTTAAAATTTACTGCAATCGCATTTATACCTGTTGAGTAGGATATTTTTTTTTAAAGATGGGTTGATATTGAATAGAAAGAACGTGAATTATTTATGCCTTGTGGCACTCTTTACATACGCTATATAGATTAACATAGTTTTTGTTGGTATAATTAACCTACGTAGTCTTGTAGATATCACTACGTTATTTTTACATCTACTACAGCAAATCGCTTCCATTAATTGTTTTTGCGCAGTAGCTGTACATACATCATCATCGTGGGGAAGATGAAGTAGAGTTCATCTGTTTCAGAGACTTCGGCATGTAGAGGGATAGTGTGGTCAGCACTATCCCCAGCCACTTTGTTTTACACTACCGTTTGTTGGGTACCCATCAGAGCTGGGAGGACTCAGGGACGTTCTACTGACTTGTACCCGGATTCGAACTCGATACTTTCGGGTTAACCGTCTAGCTCACTACCGTCCATCTTTACGTATATATATATATATATATATATATATATATATACATATATATATATATATATATATATATATATATATATATATATATATATATATATATATATATATATATATATATATGTATATATATATATATATATATATATATATATATATATATATATATATATATATATATATATATATATATATATATATATAGTTACCACTTCATCGTGTTGAGAAAAAATTATGAAAAAAAAAGAATATTGTAAGAGAATTCGTTAAAAAACACAAAATTATACCATATCTTGCTTACTTCCATAGATTTCTATCTCACATAAAGAAAGTCCCATCCCATTTGTTGTTATTTCTATTTGGTAAACATAAGCGTCTAGATGAATGAATGAGGGCCCCCATGTGTGTGTTAGAACCTCTGTGTAGAAAATGGTTCGATTAAAGGCACCTGTGCAGTTCACCGCGTACTTTATCACCAAATCTGTGGAATAACATCACTCATCATTAAATCTGTGGAATAATTGCAGTCAGTATTAAATATGTCGAATAATGTCAGTCATTGTTAAATTTGTGGAATTATTTCATTCACGTTTTGACAGAATATTTTCTCATGCTGTCTGTTTATCAGTCTCGTCTGCAGAGTTTCTTCCAGGCATCTCTTATGCAAAGCACCCCCCCCCCTGAAAAAATTCTACCGCCCCCCCCCCCCCGAACGAAATTAAATTTATATAATTTATATAGAAAATATATACTTTTAACAGTGTCCGCCCCCCCCCCCCGAAGAAAGTCTACCCCCCCCCCTCCCCCCGAAAATTTCAAGTGCCTCCCGGAGTAAAATGTCTGGAAGAAACACTGCTCGTCTGTCTTTCTGTACAGCTGTCTGTCCGACTCTCTGTCTGTCGTCTATCTTTTTGTCTGTTTGTCTTTTTTTATTCCTTGCTACACTTTTGATACGATTTGTCATCATATTGATGGAAGTTATTTCTGCGATAAAAAATGTTTATGTGTGTCTATGTGTCTACGTCGGTGTCTACGTCTGTGTCTGTGTGTATGTGTATATGTGTGTGGATGTGAATGCGGATACGTATATATATATATATATATACTAGCTGCATCCCGTGCTCCGCCGTGGTAAATCTTTTTTAAATGTACCAACTTGGGAACAGAACAAAACTAAACACAACACAAACGAACGCAAAAAAAAAACACAAACGAAAAACAAACACAACACTCATAACATAAACACAATTTAAATGCAATCATAAAGGCATATTGCTCACAGTCTAGCCCGTAGCTCCAAATCGCGCCCTTTCCGAGCGCCGGCGTCTGACACGGTGAATGACTACAAAACAGAGGCGTAGCGACCCTTTCCGGCGCCCGGGGACAAACTTTCGATTTGACCCTCCCTCAAACTTACGATTTGCACCCCCTCCCGTCAAAATTTCAATTTCCACCCCACCCCCTTAAACTTTTGATTTGCATCCCCCTCAGACTTTCGATTTGCACCACTTTTGTTTTGAAAATCCCCCCCCCCCCCCCGCTAAAACATTTGATTTGCACCCCCCTCAAACTTTCGATTTGCACACCCCCCCTCCCTAAAATTTTCGATTTCCACCACACCCCCCCTCCCTAAAATTTTCGATTTCCACCAACCCCCCCCCCCCCCCCGCAAATTTTTTCCAACCCACTTTGGCGCCCCCTAAGGTCGGCACCCGGGGACATATGCCCCCCCCCTCGTTACGCCTCTCCTATAAAAACCCCCAGCTTGTCCGCAAACCGAAAGATAGAATAATAATTAGTAAACAGTATAAATAATAGGCAGTATTTAAAATATCCGTGTTTTACCAACATATATCACTTTATCAATTCACACATTTTTTCACAGTACTTTAAATTTTAAAAATTTACAATAGAGTTTCATAACTAAAACCTATAATAATGCGGAATAGTTGATTAAAAATTAGAAGTAATAAACAGTACATTCAGTGAATAAAATAAATAAAAGATTGCCTATTATCAATCCATGCTAATTATAATTTTCTAACAATAATTTCCTCTTACACATCCGCATAATTTGCATTCACATTTTGCTAATTATATTATTGCAACACTAATTCCTTCTATGACGACCGTATATTTGCATTCACATTTTTTATTAGCGTGAGTTTAATTTTTTTTTTAATTACCTCTTTTGTCAAAATTAGAAAAAAAAGTTGAATTAATTTGATTTTTCTACCGTACTGTTATTATGTTATTAAAATGTATCCACTATTTCTGGGAATATAAACGAAAATGATATTTGACATTGATATGTTTTTGCAATGTGCGTGTATTTAATATTTTCTTTACGTTATGCAAAAAAGAAAAAACAGTGGCAATTATAGAATAGCTCTATGTCGTTATATGAACAAACCCTACTCTATTACTTATACTAAGACACTGCAATGCACTGAAAAGCACAGCATGGTGCGCTGTTTACTTTTATGGTTCCAAAAGCTATAGCGATGACAGAAGGAAGGAAGGAAGGACTGACACACGCTCAGCCCGCTTATATTATATATATATATATATATATATATATATATATATATATATATATATATATATATATATATGTGTGTGTGTGTGTGTGTGTAGGCTATATTTATATGCATTTTCGTATGTGTATTTGTATATGTTCAACACTTAGAGAACCAAACGTAATACCGTTGTGAGTTACCTGTAGGGTAAATGGCAATTCTATAGACTTTGTTCAAACCATAAAACGTGATGGAAAGTGTGTCTGTAGCGTTGGTAGTTATGCAAGTAGTGTCGCGGTCTCCGTCGCTGATTATTTTCATGAGTTCGTCGTTCGCATCAAAGCCATTGCTGGTTAACAGAGCTGTTGCGTTATAGTTTATTAAATTTACACCTGTAAAGTCAAGAAATGCAATAGGTTAATTTGTGGAGCACTTTTTGCTAACACGAAAGTATTTTGTTTGTTGATTTTTATGCAGACACAATGGTAAAACTGTACGGGTCCAGTAAGTTTGAAATGTGTAGTAAAGCCTAAATAAGGGTCTGGAAAATAAAAGTTAACAATGCCTTTTACATGCCGAGGAAGATTAGTTGGGATGTTTAATAAATTCAAAAATTAAATCCCTGTTTGGAAACTGCTAATGTTTTTATCTTTAAGCCAAACTTTTTTTTGTGTTAAATTAGAAGTAGGCCTACACGCTAACATTTGGAGAATTCATAAAAGCGAATGGAAATCATCAGATGTAAAAAACAAAACAAAAAAAAACGAAATCTTCCACGGACTAATTCACAATTAATAGAACAGACCCTTATAATAGTACTTTGTGAAGAGGGAAGCTTGCATTTGCAGCAATCACTACTTAGTATTAGCACCGTTGAAACGCAAACTAAAAGGATTAAAATTGCTGAAAAACTAAGACTACTTGGAGTGATGGAAATAAAAACAGTTTCCGAAAAAAAAAATGATGGCTCTGAATAGGGGACTTCTTAAGGATGAATGCCTGTGATATCCCATGAATGGCACTAAAAGAAAACAGAGAAGGCCAAGACAGACGTAGAAGCGCAGGGAAGCAGATGGAAGAGTCAGGACTGTCTAGAAGGACTTCAAGGACATTTCCGGAAACCGACACAGTTTCTATGGCGGTCCCATATGTCTTGGGCACAAAAGGGAAACAGTGATGAAGTGTACGAAGCACGAGTAGATACTCTTCAATAATTTGAATGTAAGGTTCAAGAAAAACCGACGCGTCTATCTCACGAAGCTGTTGTTTTATAGGGAAAATATAGCAAGTGGAACAAAACAGAAGCGTAGCGACCCTTCCCAGCGCCCGGGGACAAACTTTTCGATTTGCACCTTCCCTCAAACGTTTGATCTGCACCCCCCCCCCCCTCTCAAATTTTAGATTTGCATCCCCCCTCAAACTTTCGATTTGCACCCCCGTCGACCTTTCAATTTATTTTTCCAACCCATTTTGGCGCCTCCTAAGGTCGGCGCCCGGGGACATATGCCCCCCCCCCCCCACCCCCCTCGCTACGCTACTGGAACAAAAACAAAGTTAAATAGTTTCTCACCGCCATGTACATATATAGAGCAGATGGATAAGTCTTTCTTAAACTCAAAGTAAAACTTTCTTTTTCTCAAAACAGCTTTCATCTGCAATCGGAAACGATTTGGCTTCTCTGTAAAAACTAGTATTCTTTCTCTTGAAAAATCGAAGGTTTTTGTCTTCCCGTTGTAGAATTTTACAACGACCTCTTTTTCTTTGACAGTTTCTTTTGTAGAGTGAAAGTTTAAAAATAAAGGATTATTTCGTTAGTAAATATTTTTAAAAAAAATATTTAGTTGCTTTAGAATGTTAGAAATGTTGATGAGTGTATAAAGTAAGGTATTCCTTTCCATTTGTAAAATGTATACTTTGAAGTACGCATAACAAATAAACAAATACAACAACGTGTATTAATCATACTGTTATTAAATAAACATAGAATCCATTCGACTTAAAAAATAAGTGAAGTCCACTAATTAGTTTTCAAAATTCAAATCGATAGCAATTGTATATTTTAACCTTGGCACATATAAATACCTGGTTCTTCTAAAACAAATGTAAATGAGGTTAAGTAGAATCGATCATATAGTTCTATAAACACTTGTTTGTTTTCCAAAGGTCTGCAAGTTGTTGAATCTCCATCGAAATATGCCGAAGGTGAAGCATGCACAGCATAAACCGTTAAGTCCTCTGTGGGTGTTGAAGTTATGTGAATTAAAAGATGTGCACATAAATGCTACATACATTTTGTTACGAGTTGACCACATATTGGAGCCGGCGTGGTCGAGGAGGTAAAACTCATGTTTGCTTTACCGAAAGGCTTGAGTTCGAACCATCGGGGAGATGAGGTTCGACACCCGAGGACAGCAACTTTTCTAAGAGAGACAACACCAAAATCAAACAACTGCTGACTTGTAGTTTGTTTTTGGTTGGTCAAAGGCAATGGAAGCAAATCCGAAAAGAAAAGCAGGCTGAAATCGAAGTCAACGGCCTATACGGGACACTCTAAGTTGACACGTAATACTTAATGGAGTGGCAGGAATTCCTTCGAATACTAGAACCAAGAACGAATAAGGAGACCACTTCTTGATTGCACATTTTTAAACTCATTATTAGTAATTAAATGTATTCATGGGCTATTGTTAAATATGAATCCATCTGTTGTGTGCGTTGTTTTTTTTTATTTTTATTTTTTATTTTTTTAGAATTTCAAACTTTCAAATCGCAGCTCGTGTGTAATTTGTTTCTTATTCGGTCGTAATCGTAATATTGAACTGATATAATTGAATGCCGTTAACATGCTTTGTGCTATTAGGTCCATTGTCACCGACTTTAGCCTGTTTTTTTAGGGATTAGCTTCCAGCTCATTTCTCCATCCAAGTCAATCTGCAAGGCTGCCGGTGTTTCATACATGAGTTCTCTTTCCTTGATGGGATTGTTGTCCCTTTGCTGTTGAGCATTCATTTACAAAAACATCTAACAGTTTCAATAGACACGACCGTTCACATTACCTTTTTTTTTATTAATTTTCTCTATTGTTTATTTTACATTAAATAAGGACGTCATTCTACGGCAAATAGTTTTTTTCATCGCGTAGGTAGATTTTAGTATGGATCATCCGCAGAAGGAATACTGATAACAATAAACAAGTTCTATTATTTTTACCTATGTTACATTCATCGCCAAACCAGCCCTTCTGACAATCTTCTTCATAGCAGGTTCCATTAATTTTGCTGCAGAACGGTTTTGTGCAGTTGCATTCAAACTCACATCTTTGGCCGTAATAGCCAATCAAGCAAACTAAAAATAAAATCACGTTATTTTAATAGTGTATTCGAACGGACTTTCTACATAAAATCCGATATTGCTTTTTTGTTTTAATGAACGGAAATGGATACCTAGTGAGTTTCTAGTCTTTCTTTAAAACTTTAACACCTTTATTGTAGTTAAAACGGGGACGGCTTAGCCTAGCATAAGAGTACCAGATAGCTAACACGGAAGTCTAGAGTTCGAATCAAGATTCACGTCAGTAGAACGTCTCTGAGTCAACCTATCTCTGATGGATACACGACTCACGCTCAAGAAAGCAAAGGAGGCTGGGCAAAATGCTGATCACACTACAAAGCAGAGGCGTAGCGAGGGGGACGGGGGTGCGGACCGCACCGGGTGACACCATTTAGGGGGGGTGACACCAAGGCAAAAAATAGCAACATATATAGAGAATAACTTGAGGGGGGAGGGTGCAAATCGAAAGTTTGAGAGGGGGTGCAAATTGAAAGTTTAAGGGGGGGGGGGTGCAAATCGAAAATTTGAAAGTTTGTCCCCGGGAAGGATCGCTACGCCTCTGGGGGTGACACCATTAAGTGCCGCACCGGGTAACACCCAACCTTGCTACGCCACTGCTATAAAGACCGAGGACCCGGTACAGATTAGCTGCCCCGTGCATCTTGGGCACATACGGAACATATTATGATGTGGTTAAAATGGAATGAAATACCTTTGGCTGCTAAAAACTTCAGAGTAGTCATATCAGTGGTAACATCAATATCAGTGGTTGGGAGAGTCGACATAGCCATAGTGGTGAAGTTATGTTCCTCTACTAGTCCTTCCTTCTTTCTTACATTATCAATGTAATCCTGAAAAATCACTTGGCGTTGAGTTATGATTTCAGTATTAGAAAAAAATGGGACTGATCTCTCCTAAACTATCTCGTTAATTCTTTTATGACATTAAGGGAAGGGGGTGTGACCATTCCAGTCTACGAGGCTTGAGCTACGTGAAAACTTTGAAAGAAATCAGTCCGTGTAGAAGTTTCCGCCATCACGACAAAAAGAGAAATCAAGGCAAGCACACGGACACGTCTAGGGCCTACTCAGGCGAGCACAGAGGCGTAGCGATGGGGGGGGGGGGAAGGGGCAGTGGGGGACATATGTCCCTGCGCGCCGATCGTAGGGGGCGCCAAAATCGGTTGTAAAAACAAATTAAAATATCATTTTAGCTGCATTTTAGCAGTTTGAGGGGGGGGGGGGTTGCAAATCGAAAGTTTGAAGGGGGGGGGGGGGGGGGGGGGGGGCGCCAAATTGAAGGCTTGTCCCCGGGTGCCGGGAAGGGTCGCTACGCCTCTGGGCGAGCACTCGTACGCATAACCACACTGACACGTGCACGTACACATACTCTCATATTTTATTCATGCACGTTCAGAGGCGTAGCGACCCTTCACGGCGCCCCCCTCCCCCTCAAAACTTTCGAATTGCAACCCCCCCCCCCCCCTTCAACCTATTTATAAATGCAAAAATGCTGCTAAAATGACATTTTTATTTGTTTTTACAACCCATTTTGGCTCCCCCTAAGGTCGGCGCCCGGGGACACATGTACCCCCTGCCCCCCCCCCCCCCCTCCCCATCGCTACGCCTCTGTACACGTTACATGTTGTATATTATGAAGCCTCTTTTCAATAATATAATTTGTTCTATTTTAGGTCTTTCGTTTATTGGGCGCATGAGGAATCCACCACAATCCTCGCCTCTCTCTAACTAAGCGAAAAAACAACAACGCAATTACACTACAACTGTACGTAATCTGTACGTATTACTTAAAACACTACCGTCCAACTAAAAGTAAACACATCAGTTAAAACTGAACTAAACGGTAAATCGACATAATCACCTCAAAAAAAATATCTTTAAAATCGAGTATTACTTAAAAAACTACACTTCAACTAAAAATAAATACAACAGGTAAAACTGATTTAAACTGTAAAACGAACTAATCATTACAAATAAAAATTAATTAAAAATCAAGTATTACTAAAAAAAAACTATAATTCAACTAAAAATAAATACAACAGGTAAAACTGGTTTAAACTGAAAACGAACTAATCACGACAAATTTTTTTTTAAAAATCTGTTATCAATTAAAAAAACTACAATTTTACTAAAAAGAAATACAACAAGTAAAACTGAATTAAACGGTAAAACAAACTAATCACCACATAATAATTCTTTAAAATCGACTATTACTAAAAAAAACACTACAATCTTACTAAAAATAAATACACCAGGTACAACTGAATTAAACGGTAATCAATCACCTCAAATAGTTCATTGGGAGACTTGGTATGATACAGGTATTGCCTGAAGGACGAGCTGTTGCCTGAATGAACTGATCTCGCATACATGTAGCATCCAAAGGCAGTATTGGCTGTGATGTAGTTACCCCCGGCGTACCTCAGTGAGCCGTAGTAGATCCCGTCATTTAACTGCTTTTTCACCTCCCACTTGCTAGACGTCATATAATTTGTTGGTTAGTTGTCAGGGGGTAATGTCCTACTGTAGCTTATGTGTAGGCAGTGGCGTAGCGAGGTCGGGTGTCACCCGGTGCGGCACTAAATGGTTTCACCCCCCCCCCCCAGAGGCGTAGCGACCCTTCCAGGGGACAAACTTTCAAATTTTCTATTTGCGCACACCCCCCTCAAACTTTCGATGTGCACCCCCCCCCCCCTCAAATTTTTCTCTATATATTTTGCTATTTTTTTGCCTTGGTGTCACCCCCTAAATGGTGTCACCCGCCCCCCTCGCTACGCCTCTGTGTGTAGGGGTAAAGACCTGGGATGTGGGTTAAATTGATCTGGGGGTAGGGAAGTGGTGTCATTTTTCCTTTTTTTTTACCAGCGTCTACCCCATTTTGTAGCGTTATGTTAAATCTATATAGGCCAAAAGACCTCCATATAATTGCTCGGCGTTTCAAGCCCCCGTCCCCCCCCAACCCCCAACACCACTGCAAATACTAAAAAACAGCATCAAATTTACTACAACATATGGAATTTTAAATGTTGCAGGAATCGTGTCATTAATAGACTGATGCTACAATTTCATAATCTTATTACATTATTATGCAATTAAAATGAAATTAGAGCGCATTTAATATAAATATTCTAGACAACTAAAGATTAGTGAATTAAAATCAGTAGAAAAATAAGCATAGCTCTAAAACACAATAGACAATAGACATTACTATTTTTTTCTATTTCATTGAACTACTACTTGCAATTTTTAGAAGACTGATTATTCCAATCAATTTAAACGTTGGCGTTTAAACTGTTTGCGTTTCTTTTCTTTGATTTTTCTCATCTAATGCATTGTACTAAATAAGTTCTTTGACTATTCAATAGCACTGTTTAAAAATTACTTTGCAAATGTAAATACCAGAGTTCCTTCCAGACACTTCTTCGGAGGGGGGGGGGGGGAGAAAGGGAATTTATTTAGAAATTATATACTTTTACCAGTGCCCCCCCCCCCCCCCACCCCTAGAAAACGTAGCCCGCCCCCCCCCCCCCCTCCCAACTCCGGAGAAAAAAGCCTGGAAGAAACACTGGTAAACCCAGGGTGCTTGAAATATGCGCGCTATACATCCGTATTGTCTATCTGTAATGTATATGCTTTGTTTATATCAACATCGGTTCACATTTAAATTATTAGTCATTACTAATTAATTTTCACAGCTATTTGGAAACAAGTTTTAGCAGTCGTGGTTTAACAAAGATTACAATTCGAGAAAAGTTCCTTGATAGACTATTCTCTACTTACGCAACAGGCTGACTGTCGATCCTTACTGTGTATAGGAGTCTGGAGTAGACCAACACAAAATATTCAAAATCGTTGCCAACGCGAGGTACACTGGAAATATATTCAAGCATATATAGCTCTTTAGAAAGCCGAATCAATTTTAAGGATGTATTGTGTATTTTTACATTAAAACTTTTTACTAAATGGTATATGACTCTAGGTGACTGTTTCTTTAAGACTTACTTAATGAAGTAAAAATCAACCCATTCGGATTTGGGTAATAGCGCAACAAATAACGCATTGGATCCCGTCAAAACAAACACTGATATTGGTTTGTCGCTTGAAATTTTTCCTAATTGCGTAACTGGCTCCAACTATTGATAAATTAATGTTTTTACGATTAATGTACAAAAAACAATCAGATGATTATAAAAACAAATATTTAAGGTTTAAAAAAAGGCATTAAGAGAACAATACATTGAATATGTATTTATATGTATGTATGTATTATACACAGAGTATATATATATTATATATATATATATATATATATATATATATATATATATATATATATATATATATATATATGTTTGTGTCGGCCTACACAGACCTATAATTTAAGAAAAATATGCCACATGTAGGCCTATGTGTATAAGCTTTAATCACTGCAAATTTAATCGTAACGATGTTTATCTATGGTCTGTTCATTAAACAATAGGATAGGATGTAGCATTGTTTTCTCAAAAATTAGCACGTTTACATCATGATGTCACCCCAACCCTCTTGTAATAATTGTCTATTTGTACTTAAAAGACTATTCAATTTTAATTTAGTCATTAATGAAACTGACAAAAAGCATTTTTCTTCTGTACAATTCTCTAGTTTTGGACTTGGTTTCACCCCCCCCCCCTAAATGATGTCAACCGGTGCGGCGACTATGTGTGTGGAAACCTTTCGAATTGTTTAGACTTACGTGAACAAGCTCTTCTGCCTCCTTCTTGAACGTTAAATGTTCTGACGCAATGCTTATTGTCGTGCCGTTGTCAGTGGTGAGCATTAAGTACTCGTATTTACTCTCAAAATTGCTGAATTTTAGCTGGTAAAACTCCTTTCCAGCCGAATGCATAATCAGCATTTCTGTGTGAGAAAACGCAGTTTGTCTTACATATTAAAAAAAAAAAAATCTTTATCGTTTTAAAAAACATATAAAGTATATTTGTAAAATATTGTTTTGATAATAGGTTTACGATGCAAAGTTTTAACTTCACCTTAAATATCATTAGTTCTTATTTAATATGAAACAATGTTTGATTAGTTTTTGTAGTATTTGTTTTTTATTTGTGCTTTATATTGTTTTTTTTTCACTGTCTCCTTAACCTGCACTCTCACATCTTAAAATAGGTATAAATAAATAAATAAATAAATATATATATATATATATATATATATATATATATATATATATATATATATATATATATATACAAATGTATGTATATATATGCATATGTATATATATATATATATGCATTTGCATATATATATATATACAAATATATATACAAATGTATGTATATATATGCATATGTATATATATATATGCATTTGCATATATATATATATATATATATATATATATATATATATATATATATATATATATTGGTGTATGCTTGCGTTAGTGTGTTAGACATAATATTTCCTACCATACGGAAAATAGAATTTAGAATCGCCTCCCTTTCCCAGCAACAAGACTATGAAGCTGCTTTCTGACTTAACATGTGCTCCTGTGGTAGTTACAAAACATATCTTGGTTTTTACATCATTACATTTGTAAACATAATTTTTTTCTTTTAAAAGTTTCAAGATAACGTCATTTACTGTTATCTTCATCAATGCAACAGATTAGCTGGTTGTTTACCTGTTCCATATTTTTCCGATACAGGCACTTCTACTCTCACAGGGGTCAGTCTGAGGATTACAGTGAGGACAATAAAGGGTTTTGCTGTAGGAAAAATACACATTGTGTAACATCTTGTATATTATCCGTCCCGGCTAGGCCCTGCACTGGCCTTAGTGACAAAATTACATGTAAAGGACAGCAACTTGGGTGGTGGCTAGTCACAACACACCCGGCGCGCTGCGAGCATTGGGATTATATTAAAATTCCAATTAAATGTCTATATGCAAATAATAGCATTTGAGAAAATATATATCACCCTTAATCTAACCTAACCCTAACCATTTACCTTAACAATTAACCTTACCCTTACTCTTACCATTATCCTTATCCATACCTTACTATAACCATAACTATAACCATAAACAGAACTATAATCATAACCATAACCAATCACACCACAACCACAAACGTAGAAGTAAAAATAAACATGAAAACCCTTAACCTCAACGAGAAATATAAATATAAAAACAAACACTATTTTCTAATTTTACTTATTTAGGTGATAGTGATGTGTGATCTTCTTCGTAGTGCGTTCGTCGTATAGTGTAACAAAAACTTCTGCGGTTTTAAAACTGAACAATTCAGCAGCAGTATACTTGCTAAAATACACAACCAATTAATTTTCATGGAATGTTCTATTGGACAAATGAACAAATATGTATGTGTGATCAATGAATGGATGGATGGCAGTAGGGAGAGATGGATGGATGGAAAAATGGATGGATGGAGGGATGGATGGAGGGATAGATGGATGGCGGGAGGGAGGGATGTATGGAGTGATGGATCGAAAGAGAAAGGGGTGGACTAAGGGCGGGATGGAGAGGAGGGAGTGAGGGAGGAGTGGACGGATGAAGTGAGGGAGGGATGGAGGGTGGTGTGGAGTGAGAGGGAGAAAGGGAGGGAGGGAGGGAGGGAGGGAGGCAGGGAGGCAGGGAGGCAGGGAGGGAGGAATGAAGTAAGGGTGGGAGGGAAGGATGGAGAGGGAGGGAGGGAGGGAGGGTCAGAGGGAGGGTCAGAGGGAGGGTCAGAGGGAGGAAGGGAGGGAGGGATTGATGGAGCAATCAAGCAAACGATGGAGGGAAAGAGGAAATGATTGAGTCATGGACGGAGCGATGGATAGAGGGATGGATGAATGGATACTTGCTGTATAAATACAAAATAATAAGAGTCGATCCAAAAAGTTAGTCCTATCAAGCAGACCGATTCTTGAATTTCTCTATTGTCGGTGAGAACAATGAACGTTTCCGCTTCGATGAAATCAATGTTCTCAAACTGATACACTACGAAGTCTACATTCGATTCATTTGTAACATCTTTCCTGCAAATAAGAACTTTTCTAATGTAAAATGATTGTTTGCAATCATTAGTCCGTTATTAATTGTCATCAAACATTTATAATTTCTGTCTTATTTTAAGCATATTTTAAACCCTACCTGCATGAACCAAGATTGCTTTTATTACAAAATTATTACATTTTGTTAAAGTACCAGCAGTTTGAAATCAAAGTTTAGAAAACAATTTTTTTTGACAACCGCAAGAGAAATATCACTCAAAATTAAACACAGATGTGTGTAAAAGGAGACAGAAATAGCCTTCGGAAAGTGAGATCATCAGAGAAAAGGTAAAGAAGCTTCGAGCATACTCTGCCCTAGACATGAAAAAAAAAGACAGCAGTAGATTTATTGTGTCCAAGTGGCAAGGAGAAGAAATAAAACCAGCCCCCCTCCCAATGGTGCATTTTTTAAAACAATACCTGAAAACCTATAACAGGTCCCTTTACAAATTGCAATATACAAAATTAATAAAAAGAAATATCGGAAGTGTTGGTTTAATAAAAAAAAATTTAAACTCAAAACACGAATATGCCTATTGGACCCCCTATATTGGTGGCCAACAGGGAATGTTTCCCATCGAACTTCCGTTTCAATAAATGTGACACGCTAGGACAGGGGTCTCCAAACTACGGCCCGCGAGGTCCTCTCATCTGGCCCGCAGAGATCTTTTTGCCCACGGAAAAAACGTATGAAGGCTCTGGAAATTTGCCCAGAAAAATCAAAGACATGCCTGGAAGAAACTGGCCCCCCGAACTGAAATTTGATAGCTAATGCGGCCCTCGGACTGAAACGTTTGGAGACCCCTGCGCTAGGTGCTTGAATAAAACCGGAAGAGAAGATTCCCTACACAGACCTTTAGATAAAAACTAAAAACATTAAGGTAGTACGTAAAGTAAAGTTTCCCTTTCAAACCTGACGGTCTATGGGGAAAGTGAAGTAGAGTTCACTAGTTTCTGTGACCTCGGCATATGAAGAGATAGTGTGGTCAGCACTATCAATAGCCGCCTTTACTTTCCTTAACGTGAGTTAGGTACCCATCAGAGTTGGGTGGACTCAGGGACGGTCTACTGACTTGAACCCGGATTCGAACTCGGGGTAGAACTTCAAGGCTGTATAAATCAGAGTTTCTTCCAGGCATCTCTTCGGGGGGGCGAAGCCCCCCCGAAAAATTTTTACCGCCCCCCCCCCGAACGAAATGAAATTTATATAATTTATATAGAAAATATATACTTTTAACAGTGTCCGCCCCCCCGAAGAAAGTTTACCGCCCCCCCGAAGATTTCAAGTGCCCCACCGGAGAAAAAAGTCTGGAAGAAACACTGGTATAAATCTACAGCCAGAAGCGGGCAAAAATGGACCATATGCTTGACTTTAATATTAGAAAATTTCTAATCAGATACAAGTAAAACTGCCATTACTTTTGACTATTCTAACTTATTTTAAAGAATGTTTACCATTGTAAAAGTTTGTATGCGTTGTCCGAACGTAGTTTTTTAATTTCCTGTACCTGGTGAGCTACAACTTTGGAAGCTAAAGCGTCATAGTATCCAATCTGTTTTCCAATCATTAAAAGAAATTTGGAAACATTTAATACAGAATTATTTTTAAAAAAAAACAGTAAACACAATTTATATCAGGTATGTTCTTTTTGCATTCACACATTTTAAATAGAATAGATATGGACTAGTTATGTATAAAGAAAACCCGGTTTATTTTCAAACTCTATGTAGAAGAAACCTTCCGAGATGTTGGCTGTTTTCGACAACTACACATTTTCAAGGAGATCGGACTAACGGACGAAAGGTGTAGTAATTCATAACAGTTAAACAAACAAACCTAGAAACATACTTATATATATATATATATATATATATATATATATATATATATATATATATATATATATATATATATATATATATATATATATATACAAATCTTACCTTAACACTGCCGTCAGTAACAGAATAAAAATAAGCTGTGCATGTTAAAAAATTTAAATACTCATTTTTAATCCAAAAATAGTAGTTTATCTCGCTGTCACCTTTCAGAAAGAATACAGAGGTTGACAATTATATATATATATATATATATATATATATATATATATATATATATATATATATATATATATATATATATATATATATATATATATATATATATTAAAATGGACACACGTGGTGTTGTCTCTTTAATTGTATGCTCAATTTTAAAAACTCTAAATTTACTCTTTAAAATTGGAAACCTACATTTTCTAAATTAAAAAAAAAAAATAAAATTTAAGTCTAGCAACAGTCATTTAAGTATTATTAAAATAATTTTTTAAAGATGTTAATAGATAAAATGCTTTACTGAAATAAAATTCATAAAGGTAAAATAAATGATTATCATACCTTGTCTTAAAAATGGTTCTGTAGAGAAGAAGTATAAGTAAATAATGCAAGATGAAAACAAATAAATCGACCGTATGCAAGAGAAGCATAGGTCGCTTCTTAAATTTTAGGAAATGAATCAATAGATAATACAAAACCCGTGATTGTCTTTATCAATATATATAAAAAGCAATGTATGTTTGTGTGTGTGTGTGTGTGTGTGTGTGTGTGTGTGCGTGTGCGCGTGCGTTTGCGTTTGCGTTTAAGTCTAGCAACAGTCATTTAAGTATTATTAAAATAATTTTTTTAAGATGTTAATAGATAAAATGCTTTACTGAAATAAAATTCATATAGGTAAAATAAATGATTATCATACCTTGTCTTAAAAATGGTTCTGTAGAGAAGAAATATACGTAAATAATACAAGATGAAAACAAATAAATCGACCGTATGCAAGAGAAGCATAGGTCGCTTTATAAATTTTAGGAAATGAATCAACAGATAATACAAAACCTGTGATTGTCTTTATCTATATATATAAAAAGCAATGTATGTTTGTGTGTGTGTGTGTGTGTGTGTGTGTGTGCGTGTGCGCGTGCGTTTGCGTTTGCGTGTGTGTGTGTGTGTGTGTCTGTCTGTCCTTTATGCATTACTACACCTCTCATCACATTGCCGTGAAACTTTGGGAAGTTGTTGAGAATATTCCTGGGGAGGTTTCTGCGAAAAAAAACATTTCAAATTCGCAGGGGTGGCGCCACGGCAGGGCGCGATTTGTTTTTCTCTATATACCGTATATAAAAATAAAAGTCGATTTTGGTTTGGCATCGTTCATCCGATAGCCATGAGACTTTGGGGAGTTCATTATACAATTCTATGGAAGGGTTCTGTAAAAAAAAAAAAATTTAATTTCGCAAAGGCGGCGCCACAGGAGGGTCCGATTTTTCTCTATATACGGTTTATAAAAATAAAAGTCTATTTCGGTTTCACACCGTTCATCCGATAGGCATGAAACTTTGGGGAGTTGATTAGAACACTCTAGGGAAGGGTTCTGTATAAACATCATTTTTAATTTCGCAAGGGCGGCGCCACGGGAGGGTGTGATTTTTCTCTGTATACGATTTATAAAAATAAGTCGATTTTGGTGTGACACCGTTATCTGATAGCCATGAGACTTTGGGGGAGTTGATTAGAACAATTCAGGTAAGGTTTCTGTAAAAAATATCCTTTTTTAATTTCGCAAGGGCGGTGCCACGGGCGGCTGCGATTTTTCTCTATATACGGTTTATAAAATTTCGGTTTCACACCGTTCATCCGTGTACCATGACACGTCGGGGAGATGATTAGATCACTCAATGGTAGGGTTCTGCAAAAAAAATATTGTTTAATATTGCAAGGGCGGCGGCCCCCGGGGGGAGCGATTTTTTTTCTCTATACACGGTATATAAAAAATAAAACTCGGATGCGGTTCATGAAACTTTAGGGAATAGATGAGAATACTTCCGAGAATATTTCTGCGAAAAAGAAAACTAAAGTTTCTTACGGGCGGCGCAATATAGGGTACAACTTTCGTTAATACACGGTTTGGCGCCCAGAGTTTTAGAGCGACTAAGTTGGCACTTGGCATCCGTTAATCGAGTATCCTGCATAGCGAGTAAGGGATACTACTATATTCAGCAGTAAAACTACAACATGCTTCTAAAAATAACTTTGTAACTCGAGGAAATCCTTCTGCACAGTTTCGTCACCTTGCGAAAGATGAAAAAATAACTTTTTTGAATATGAGGAGCCTAGTGTAGAGTTTCGTCACTTTGCGAATGATGCAATAAGCATCTATTTTTAGACAATCCAGTCAGAAGTTGAGATTGAGCATCTAATAATAGACCATTAGTAACGCTAGCATATTGCATCAGTCACACTGATATTTTAAACACGTCAAATAATTTTTTTTACGTGTTAAAGAAAAAAATCATCTTCATTTGTGTCACTTAAGCGAATGACGAAATCTGCATCATTATTAACAGGATGCTTTTTGGCCGATGGCGCCTGTTAGTTTTAAGGAGCCAGGGGTCGTACGCCGCGTCTATGCGATAGTGTAATCGGGGGGTCGGGGCCCTGAGAGCGCCCCTCTACGTCTCTGACACAGAGATATTTATGATATTCCTGATATTTAAGATCCAAGAACAGGCATTGTTTACATTTAAATAACTCATTTTTAGAAAAGAAGGTCACGCGTCTAAGAACATATAATTATAATTGATAACGCGTTGGTGAAATCCTAATATATTTCGTCAAACTTTCTTCTATCCCCGCGGCAACGCGCGGGGGTCGCGTACGCTAGTTAATAATAAAACTAGGCATGCTGCCCAGCTTCGCTTAGGCTTTCAAAAACATTGAGAATTTGAATGCTTAATTAATTCGCCCGAGTGTCGGTCTACGACCTCAGGAGTTATGAAGAGGTTCCTACGTGGACAAATTTTTTTCGATTTATAGCTCATATAAGGCGCCGGTCAGTCGAGGTCTGTTTTGACCCCCTCATCGTAGACCCTTAGGCCAACTGGCACCGGCCCCCGTGTTCTGTCGCCCCAAGGCAAGATCCTGCAAAAATTTGAAGCGCCTGCGGCGCCGGGAAGTGCCCGATGTCGGGCACCCGACAACTTTGCTTCATATATTATAGAGATTAGCAAATTGCATAGATAAACAAATATTTCCAAAGGAATTCCTTTCTTTATAGTCTAAAATAGGAAGATATTAGGTTTGACTTGATGTGTCTCGATCCGGCACCACCTGTTTAGTATCAAGTACACTATCACCTCAGCTAATTAGGTACCTTATAAAATCTGGAGAATAAAAGAAGTGTTTAAAAAATATGCCTTTTTTCAAATTAATTTTTTTACCGAAAATTAGCCAGTTTCATTGCTAAACAAACAAAGATTTCTATAAAATATTTAAGTCCTGAAAAAGTTTATTATAGAAATTTATTTTTGGAATAGATTCTACAGTAGATAGAGTCTAAATCTAGATCTAGAATAGATCTTAGCGACGTAGCGTAGATTTAGATCTAGTCTAGATCTAGAATCTCTAGATCTAGAATCCAAATAGATAAAATATTTTTTTTAAGTTTAGGCCGAGAATATCGTATTGTATAGTCTACATTTCATAGCGTACATAGCTCTAAATCATATTTGAATGAAATAGTTCATTTCTTTTTATTCTAAACTCGGAAGATGACGTCATCAGTTTCGTGCTCTTTTTTAGTGTAAACAATAAGCGACGTCATAGTTAAATGCGTTGTTGTCCCAAGTATATACATTTTCCGGTTGCATAAATAATACTGTTTCTCTACATTCGAATACGCCTTTATTTTTTTTTTCTTCTTTAAATAGAATTGTGGTTATACATTTACAACATCCAACATATTATTTTCAACAAAAGTCCGTATAAAGGTATCCATATATCGCTACCGATTCTGACGTGATGTGCGGCGAAAATATTTTGCGGACAGACAGACAGAGAGAGAGAGAGAGAGAGAGAGAGAGAGAGAGAGAGAGAGAGAGAGAGAGAGAGAGAAGTGCGAACGTGGCCCATTATATATTAGGATAGTTGCACGTTATTAAGTAATTTAAAAAAAATATGTTTTATTTTTAAACGAATAGGCCTAATTATTTTAAAAGCAACGTGTTATTTAAACGTTTAGGGCCTTTACTGATTTATTTTTAAATACATAAACAATTTAGTACAGTAGAATAGGAAGACTAAAAATAATTGTACAACAAATGAACACAAATAATGTGCGTTAAATAGTGCTGTAAATTCGTACTTTGTATAGGAACTGTTAATAAATTCTTAAAAACTTATTAAGCATTGTCATCGAATCTTAACCCACTTGCCAAGCTGGAAAGAACCTACTCAGTGAAAAGTGGTCGAAATTCACCCCGATCCATTTCAAACATCACGACAAAAGACAAAAGTTTTTTTAAAAAGCTTCTAAAAATGAAGCAATTCAGAAAAAAACATACTCAGAATAATTTTTTTATAGTTAAGAAAAATAATAAATACAACAATAAATAAAACAAACAAATAAAACGATCCTGATAAATTTTACAAACAAAATAAAGCAGAGGAATAAATAAATGAACAAACAAACTAAGTAACCATAAATAATTCACATTAAAAATGATAGATTAATTCATTATTCGATAAATAAATAAATGAATAAATATTCAAATAAAAATGAATGTGTGTGTGTGCGTGCATGCGTGTGTGTGTGTGTGTGCATGTGTACTAAACGGCTGCCAAAATAAATGCCATATTAATATTGCTAGCATGAAAGATTAAGTTGCTATGATGTATTCACTTCTTGACCGAGGTATTTGTTATACGATATGCATACCCAATTAATTATAGAACAGTGTTTTTTTTTAAAACATGATTCTATTAAAATATACATGTTGAAAAATAATAAAAATTGTTTTACCTAATACATTAGAATAACCTGAAATGATAAATAGTATTCAGCGTGAGTTTAGCTTTTTGTAAAATTATATTGGAGTGTTTTATTTTTACTAAGAAATCGAAAACTCAATTTATTTCGACGCTTTTTTCCCCATTAAACGCCTTTTCATTGTTTTCTCCAAATTACACACGTGTGATGTTTGCACCATTATCGTTGATAATTTTTACAGCATATCTGCCTTATTTCTCTTTTTTTTAAATTTTAGAACTGAGATAATTTTTTTACATTATTTTAAATTAGCTAATATATTTTTTTTTCACAAAGCAGCTGTATGATTATAGAAATGTAATCTGGTCACGGTTATATATAATATAGCATACGTTTTTGTTAGAAATGTGATAACTTTGGTAAAATTTCAAATAATTTCTTTACATATATTTAGAATATTTTAGAATGAGCATGCCTTTGGTTTGGTGATAAAATAGTTCAATGCAACAACCATATTAAGTCAATGAATGCAGGCTATTTATTACTTTCTCGTATATACGAAGTATAGAGAAAGTATTGTAATCGTGCGAAAAAAAATTCGAGATTTTTACAAATCTCGACGTTTTACACCTCACTGATATGAAAAAACATAATTTTGCAATCTTGTCCGTATGTCTGTGTGTCTGTCTGTGTGTCTGTGTGTAAACACGATAACTAGAGTACCGTCACAACTAGGTTGATGAAATTTCATATATAAGTATTTTATAAAAATCGTAGATTCGTATCAACTTTTGAACGATTTACGATAACCGGAAGTGGTACTTTTTCTACTTTGAATTTTTCAAAAGCCTATAACTTGAGTACTATTTCAGATAGATAAATGAAATTTCACACGTAAGTAAAAGATCTAATTCTCTACCTTCTGTCAAATTTTGAGTAATTTCTGTTGACCGGAAGTACTAATTTGCGCTATTTCCGATTTCTCAAAAAAAAAATTCCAAATTATATAAGAATATTCGAGAAAGTTTAGGGGAGATCACTCCCGGTTTATTTTTACATTTGGTATTATTGTAATCACGATTTTAAAAAAAAACTATGATTTGATTGTATAAATTTTACTCACCGATTGAGTCTTTGTTTGTTAACACTTCTCCTTCCACATCACCCCACATTGCTACACCATCTAATGAAACGCTTTAAAAAAATGGTTTTAATAATTAAAAAAAAAACACCTAAAAAATTTAGTTTAATCATGTTTTGTTTTTTACAACAATGAATATATTATTAAAATTTTACCACATTCTGGTCAAAAGTATTTCAACGCCGTTAGCCAAAATTGTGTTGTTTTTATATTCGCCAACAACTGCTTGATCCCACTCCACCCATTGAGAATGTTCTTTTGATGTCGCTCTTGGGCAAAGTTCAGCATCTGATGATGAATGTTCTGATATAGCGTATCTCTAAAAATAGCGTTTACTGGTTACAATATCATTATTGGTTGTTTTTTAATGCAACATTTTAAGACTTATTTTTTTAAACATTTTTTAAAAGTTATTTGGAAAATTACGTGTTTTTTAATGCAAACTAAACAAGTCTATGACATTTTTTGTAAGCTTCCAGAGAAAATACTAATAAGGATAAAATGTTGATGGTGTATAATATTGCTCCTCGATTGTGTATTGTTTTGCTAGAATATTGGTAAACACAATTTCTTATGGATTCCCCTTATTTTACCAACAATATAGTAAACCTACATGCTTTTCATTGCTGAGTTCATTAACTCTTCTAATATTTATTGCAAGGACACACATTATTACTTGCTTATACTACACATTACCAGTTAAGTTTATAGACTTTCTGTCTACTCGTTCTTTTCCAAACCAACTACTTTTACTTTCCGAATGTATGGAAATGTCTTTTTGCAGTGTTTGTCTAGCTTCTTCAAAACGAATGACATTGAAAACGGTCACTTCCAATTTTAAAATTACTCGATGGCTTGTGGCTTTGTACGGAACTTCCCTTATTGCAGAAATAGAAACAAGAACTGTTAGACCACAAATATATAATGTTTAACACAACAAATAAGAGTACTATGGTATTTAGGCTACTTAGTTTGGAAACAAAGGTTTTATTAACTGTTACTAAAAAAAAGGCTACTGCGTAGTTATTCATTGCGTTGTTTTCTTTGCCGGGTTCATTAATAAAAAACAAACATTTAAGTTGAGCTATAATACATTTACTTTTGTATATTTTTTTTGGAAATTATCTTATTGACAAATTAAAACATGTCTATTGAAAACAAACATCAGCAGTTTTTATAGCTTTTGTAGAACGTTAATTGTCAGTTAAACCTCCAGTGTTACTTACTCAAAGCGTAATATATAAACATCAAGACCTCCTGGAAGTCCAACGACCATTCTTTTTATCTACAAAACGCAAGACTTCAATTATTGAAACAGTAGTTTATAAAATAATGTAGAAAATAATTGTAATACATAGGATAATTCTAATAAAGTATCATTATGTGGAACGTGTATAAATGTAAATTTTCTCGGATTAATTACATAAAAGTATTTTCCTATTGACGTAAATAAAACTAAACCGAAATAATAAATTGAAGTCAAATTTTAATAACTACGAAATATGAAAGTTAGATTATATGCGTCCAGCAGAACTATTACCATACATATACACATAAACACTTTTTTTAAAAAAAATCCAATTAATGATGTACTCAATTCAAATAAACATATTCAAATTTTAGCCCAAAACGTGTGAAGCAACATCTATAACAATGCTGGGAATAATCATTTATTTCCACTAAACACCCACTCTTGATGTAGTGTTTCTCCTGGCCACTGAGGCATGCTAGTTTTAAAATAACTTTACAATAGCACATTGTACAATCATAATAAAATGTTAGTGTTACATTTAAATATATATATATATATATATATATATATATATATATATATATATATATATATATATATATATATATATATATATATATATTGTGTTCAGCAAACTTACAGCTTCAGATATTCTTTTCTGTTCGTTGTAGAATGTCTCTGATATTCTATGATTCATATTTTCATGAAATGGAACGCCATTTCTAATGTAGGATAAAACGTATGTGTAGTCCACAGTCCTACCTACAGACAAATGGGCAATAAATATTCAATAGGTACAAAAAAAGAATACATTTTGAACTGACTCCTTGAAGATAAAAAAAATAAAGAGAAAAAAAAAACAATTCAGTTTACAATTTTTTTCTATATTGTAAGGATGGCTGGGGTTATTCTAATGCTCCATTATGTGCATAAGATGCTTTAGTATACTCGGCATAGAACTAAACGTAAACTATTTCGCTTAGTTTGCAAAACTAGAAGCTTTGAATAAACGTCAAAGATTTTCAGCTTTTGGAAAAATACATTTTTAATCATATAATTTTCACTCCAATAATGAAATAATTATATCTTAAAACATTCTACATGTAACTACCTCTCATAAAAAATTTAGTTACCTCTCATAAAACATCTAACTACCTCTCATAAAACATCTAACTACCTCTCATAAAACATCTAACTATCTCTCATAAAACATCTAACTACATCTCATAAAACATCAAACCACCTCTCATAAAACATCTAACTACCTCTTATAAAACTTCTAACTACCTCTCATAAAACATCTAAGCAACTCTCATAAAACATCTAACCACCTCTCATAAAACACCTAACTACCTCTCATAAAACATCTAACTACCTCTCATAAAACATCTAACTATCTCTCATAAAACATCTAACTATCTCTCTTAAAACATCTAACTACCTCTCATAAAACATCTAACTACCTCTCATAAAACATCTAACTATCTCTCATAAAACATCTAACTATCTCTCTTAAAACATCTAACTACCTCTCATAAAACATCTAACTACCTCTCATAAAACATCTAACTATCTCTCATAAAACATCTAACTATCTCTCTTAAAACATCTAACTACCTCTCATAAAACATCTAACTACCTCTCATAAAACATCTAACTATCTCTCATAAAACATCTAACTATCTCTCATAAAACATCTAACTACCTCTCATAAAACATCTAACTATCTCTCATAAAACATCTAACTATCTCTCATAAAACATCTAACTATCTCTCTTAAAACATCTAACTATCTCTCATAAAACATCTAACTACCTCTCATAAAACATTTAACTACCTCTCATAAAACATCTAACTATCTCTCATAAAACATCTAACTACCTCTCATAAAACATCTAACTACCTCTCATAAAACATCTAACTACCTCTCATAAAACATCTAACTACCTCTCATAAAACATCTAACTACCTCTCATAAAACATCTAACTACCTCTCATAAAACATCTAACTACCTCTCATAAAACATCTAATTACCTCTCATAAAACATCTAACTACCTCTCATAAAACATCTAACTACCTCTCATAAAACATCTAACTACCTCTCATAAAACATCTAACTACCTCCAATAGAGTGCTCTTGACAATCAGGTCCTAAACAGCAGAAAACACACGTGACCGGAACCCCGCCTGTGTAGGTGCAAAGGTCAGGGTTGTTGACCTCTGAGTTCAAACACACCCCAATGTCCTCACACCGGGCGGTGATCAAAAAACCTGTTTCATCCCACGTGATCTCGGAATAACACATTCTCTGGTAACATAAACATGTAAAATCCTTGATTTGTATGGATCAAATTAAAAAAAAACTGCAAGTTTTCATTCAAGTAACTTTTCAATACGACCTAACATTCTGATTTACCTTATCTCCCTTGCAAACTGTGTAGCCCGACTCTAGACATGCGTAGTTGCTACTTTTGTTTTCACAAGCACGACATTCAACTGGCTCAGAGAAAATGCTAACATTGCCTCCTAGGAGGAAAAATTATTTTTTTCTACGATAAAACATGTGTAATTAAAAAATATGTAATTAAAATATTTAAATGAAATTGGAATTAACAAAATAATTAGTTGTTAAATAATTATTTTTTTTCAAAAATGTAAATAACTATTAGTGAGATTAAATCTTTAAAATGCTTGATAATCAATAACATGTTTATATACATTATAATTTATACGTTACTGAAGTTTTATTTCTACACACATTTCATTTCTTTTACAGGCAGATTTTATAATTGTATATTGTAAACTATTAGATATTAATGAAATGGTATTGAATCTTGGCATCTTTCATGACAACTATGCGCTTTATTTAGATACGCAGCTTTATTGTACAATTCTTTTTTACAATAAAGCTGCAAGAGCATTTAATACACTTTTGTAAACATAGTTAAATCACTCTTTGTCGAATACGGTATTAAAGTTACAAAATATTAACAGTAGTAAACCAAATTAAATTTGTTTGTACCTCTGCATGGTTCGAACTCTGTCTGGTTGGCTAAACTCTTTGGTGTCGTAACGTTGCCGTTCACACATGTAATATTTTCTAAACTGTTTTTTACAGTTTGTAACGAAAAAATGTCCTCCAAACTTTTCTTAGTGAGCCCCAGGTCGCAGCTGCATTTCAAAACGTTGCTGTCAATGTTTCTGTAAACATAACATTCGTATGTAATATAAAACAAATACGTATTAAATAAACTTCTCTCATCTAAACAATAACTACTAAATGTAGTCGAATGCGTTTTAATAAAGATATAACTAAGTTTTAGCAATTTGAATAATATTTTAAACATATTTTTTTTAAACAAAGTAAAATGTATGTAGATTAAACAAATCATTTTCTCAACGAATGAAGTTGGAAAAGTGAAGTAGAGTTCATCAGTTTCTCTCAAATCGGCATATGAAAGGATCGTGGTATGTCGAGCCATTTTATTTTCCTCAACGTGAGTTAGGTACCCATCAGAGCTGTGTGGACTCATGGACATTCTCCAAATTGAACCCGAATTCGAACTCGAGACATTCGAGTTAACAGCCTAGCGCACTACCTTTTAGCCATGCCGTCCCTAAGTTAGCACTAAGATATGAATTACATGAAATAAACAAGGCAATATAATGTAGTTTACATTTTATACGATACGCCTGTCATTACTAAAAGAGTGTAGCCATCTATGAAACTGATGTTGTTTCCTTGCATTCGCCTGAAAAATGATTTAAGTAAAATTTAATTTATTGGAATGATTGTATTTATATAATCTGGGAATATTATAAGTGGATTTAACTGGGTTTTATTTTGGCAACTATGTGTGTCGTTTTAATTCGATAACTCATGAACTACACACTATATGTACGGCATTTATTTATTTGAACAAATTCGAAAATAATAAAGAATAAAATTATTAAAAATTAACATTACATTTTGAAACATTCATCAAACGTTTAAATTTAAGTTTAAACTTTACTTACATACTTTTTTACAACTATTTAAAAAACACCACAGCTTATATCCGCTAATTAACCAATTACAATAAAACAATTTATTTAAAAACCACAACCCTTACACAACTAGATTTGGTACGTGGGGAATATTACAGCTAGAAATGCTTATAGCTGTTAGAAGATTTTCACTCAAATCTCTGAAATAGAAATAAAGTTAACTTCCTAAATATAATATATCAATTCAAAATCGACATAATAAATTGAAATAAACGTTTTATATTCAAGTGTTCTAAGCATTCGTATATATATATATATATATATATATATATATATATATATATATATATATATATATATATATATATATATATATATGTGTGTGTGTGTGTGTATACATATAATTCTATAAAGTCTAATATTTGCTAAAATCATTAAACTATGTTAGTATTAGTAAAAATTGTTCTTGTATTTAATGCAGGGACACATGAAAAAGAAATTGTTTACAAGTAAATTCATTTTTGCAAACAATAGAATAAGTTTATGAATTTGTTTTTATCCAGTATTCGTTTGCTTTGCTAATTATTTATAAAAGCTGCTTTTTTACTACACCTAACAGAAAAGGACCAAATAAAAATAAAACCGATTTTCAAGTATCGAACATTCAAGTTTAAAAAACGACTACAAAATACTAAAAATGAACATAAACAATGTTTACAAAATACAAAGCTGAAATAAGTTTTTGAAAGCGTCAGGGTGGACTATGGCCAATGAATTATTCTTGAGGGATCTGAAAAAAATGAGTTTACAATTATTTTCTTAATAATGAGGTACTTAACCACATTATAATATGTTAAACAAAGCATTCTTAAAAATAAAAAATAAAAACTGGGGTAGATATGTATTTAATTACTTACAAATGCGTTAGTCTTTCAAGGTACATGAAGACATTTTCGGTAATTTCTTGTATTCTGTTGTTGTCCAGCTCTCTGTATATATATATATATATATATATATATATATATATATATATATATATATATATATATATATATATATATATATATTGAGAGAGACAGAGAGAGAGGGAGAGAGAGAGGATGAAATTATTGCATGTAACCTGACGTATATGTTTAATGTTCAAATTCAATTGTTTATGGCTATGATTACATGCATACCTAGACTCCATTAACATATTAACTTTTAGTCATTTCGTTTAATGATAACATCACATTTATCCGATTGTTCTGGACTATTTTATTGAACACAATGCTTAATTAAACATAATATACTCACAATACCAGCACCGTCTGTGGGATATCACTTGGCACTTTTTCTAACTTGGGACTTAAATTTCGACAATTTACAACATTCTCCTGGCATACGCAGGATAAAGATTGTAGATCGAGAGTCGTTAGATTGCATGCAGGTCTACTCGGCGAGGTGCTACTACTGGACTTAGCAACACCGTGTGTTGAACATCTGTAGAGACTGATGAGGCACAGCAGGAACTGAAGACTTGTAGAGTTCCAGCTAAACACGTACAGTTTGACCACACGCTTGACCGTCATAGTGTTTGATGGTCCATCGTGACTTCATTGATTTAGTGATTTTTTTTTGTATCTTGGACTGTATTACAATGATAATCAGAGTCACGTCATTATTGAAAAATACAGTTGTGTTTTTTTTTCTTCTATAAAAATAGAATCTCCATAAACTACTAACCTTTGGGACAGTATAGCTGATTAGGTATAAGGCTAACAACACTAATTTTTCATTTGCCTAGGTTACATGAAACATATTAACTCTACTTCACCTGTGCCAAGGACTGTCAGATTAGACAGGGTAGTTTACTTTTTTAAACCTGCTTTTCCCTGAAAATCTATACTTAAAATACTATACATCTAAACTTAACATCGGTTTTGTCATAGTGTTAAATGCTAGTAAATATGTTATCGACATTTAATGCCATAACTGATCATAAGCCAAATCCTTATTATAGCCATAGCAGAGGCGTAGCGAGGGGGGAGGTGCGGATCGCACCGGGTAACACTATTTAGGGGGGTGACACCAAGGCGAAAAATAGTAAAATATATAGAGAAAAATTTGAGGGGGGTGCAAATCGAAAGTTCGAGGGGGGGGGGGCTGTAAATCGAAAATTGAAAGTTTGTCGCTACGCCTCTGGGGGGTGACACCATTAAGTGCCGCACCAGGTGACACCCGACCTCGCTACGCCACTGAGCCATGGTCCATTTCCTCAATTTGTAGACGCCTTGAATTATACATGAGTGTCGACTCATGTACAATTCATGGCGTCTACAAATTCAGCTCTACAAGCTAATGAACACGTCGACATGCGATTCAAAGCTACTGACACGAAACTAAAGCCATTGCTAAAACAAGAGTAAAACGGTCACAACTGAAACTATTGTTACTACATGAATCTGAATGTGGCAAATAAAACTATCGCTACCATGCAGAGGCGTAGCGGGGGGGGGGGGGGGGTGCGGACCGCACCGGGTGACACTATTTAGGGGGGTGACACCAAGGCAAAAAATATTAAAATATATAGAGAAAAATTTGAGGGGGGGGTGCAAATCGAAAGTTCGAGGGGGGGGGGGGGGCTGCAAATCGAAAATTCGTCCCCGGTAAGGGTCGCTACGCCTCGGGGGGGGGGGGGGGGGGGTGACACCATTAAGTGCCGCACCGGGTGACACCCGACCTCGCTACGCCACTGCTACCATGCATTAGATTGTGACAACTGAAACTATCTTTACTGCAAGATTTCAACTGCAGCAGCTAAAACTATCGACACTACAATAGTCTGGCTGTCACAACTGAAATATTCGCTACTACTTGATTGACACTGTCGCAACTGAAACTATCGGTACTACAAGAATCAGATTGTAACAATTGAAACTATCACTACTACAATAGTCTGACTGTCGCAACTGAAATAATCGCTACTGCAGCAGTAAAACTGTCGCAAATAAAACTATCGGTATTACAAGAATCAGATTGTAACAACTGAGACTATCACTACTACAACAGTCAAATTGTCAGAACTGAAATAATCGCTACTACTTGAGTGACACTGTCGCAACTGAAACTATCGGTACAACAATAATCAGAGTGTCACAACTGAAATTATCATTATCGGTACTACAAGAGTATAACTGGTACAAATAAAACTACTTTTCGCACAAAAAGAGTCAGATAGTCACAACTGAATCTATGGCTGCTTGAAGAGTCAGTCCAGTTTGTCTACTCCGGTAGACGGCGCCACATGCGGCGTTAGAACTAGTTTAGGTTCTAGATCTAAATCTTGAATCTAGAAAAATCTAGACTTTGAAATTACCAGCCTGTTAATCTTAACAACAAGCTATAACCCTTCTAATACAAAAGGCTAAACTTTACACTAGATCTAATCTCTTTACAGAGCAACCGATTAACGACACAGACATTAAATTAAGTCATTAAGTCAGGATTTAGCTAGTTTACCTTGAGCTTGTGAAGTTTCTATTTCTTTATGAATTACCCGCTTGTTTGCTTCGATATTTTTACTTCACTTTGTGTATTTTATCTATAAACATTCCCTGTGTGTTCAACACGGCTCATGAACGTGCATGCGCGAGTTTGATTTTACGCACTTTTTCTGTACGGGGCACTGTTTTAGTTCTATAACCTTTGATAAACGGTGAAAGTGGCTGCTATTGGTATATCATTATATTGTTTGATGGCGTGGGGTTGTGTCTGGTGTTGGTATAAAGTTTAATATCGTGGGATCGGGTTGGGGGTTGGCACAACATTAGATGAGTTTTGATTTGTGGTTGGGTTGAGTACAAGACAAACAAAACCCAGGAAGAGATAGCGCAGTTAAAAGGTTACTAATAAATACTTTTTCTCAAAATAGTTTGAGTTTAAATTTACAATTTTAAATAGTTTTCTTCGTTTAGTGTTAGTTAGCTAAAGCCCTAGGTTTAGGTTTATTTTCTTAATTAACTTTCTCTTTTCTGAGAATACGCTTTTCTTGTAAAAACTACACAGGAAATCGGAACTTCCCGTTTTTTTTTAATAAACAAATGAATACTAGCGCATTGAGCCAAATTGTAAAATATGGATTATATCTGTATTGTTTGAACGGAAGAGATAAGTTTACAGCAACAACAAGTGTAGAAAGTTTCGCATGACTTTTGTGAGCAAGCCACAAAAACATGTACCCTGTAGTAGTATTCATTCTAATCATGCAGCTAGACTATAGTCTCGGGGGTAGGCTTCATCGCTTGATTTTTGTTACAGCTTTCTCTTATACAGTAGGCCTACATATCTAGACAACGATAGATTCTACAATCCAAATATACATGCATATAGATCCAGAGGCGTAGCGACCCTTCCCGGCGCCCGGGGACAAATTTTCGATTTGCACCCCCCACCTCGAACTTTTCATTTGCACCCCCCCCCCCCCCGCCCCCCTCAAACTTTAGATTTGCAGCCTCCCCTCGAACTTTTCATTTACACCCCCCCTCCCTCAAACTTTCAATCTTTCAATTTGGCGCCCCCCCCCCTAAGTTCGACGCCCCGGGGACATATGTCCCCACCCCCCCGCCCCCCCCCCCTCTCGCTACGCCTCTCATTATAGATCTAGAATATCTCTCGATTTAGATCTACACCAGATCTAGATCTAGAGTCTAGATCTAATCTAGACAGTCTAGATCTAGATCAAGTACGAAGTAAAAGACTTACGGATGGTTGAACATTTGGTTATTTTAAGAGTGTTTATGTTTTTTTTATTTATAAAACTGAGTCGATCCAGCTCTGATGGGTACCCGACTCGCGATAGTGAAACTAAAAGCGGCTGGGCAAGGTGCTTATAAAAGTATCAAAACATATAGCGAGGTTTAAAAAAAAAAATGTGCACTCTACTTCACCTGCCCCGTGGACTGTAAGGTCTTAACGGGCACTATATTAATTAATTAAACTAGACGTAGATCTAACTGAATTAAAAATTATGTTTTATCTTTGTAATATTCCTATGCCGATATCATATATGTGTTGTTAAGTTTTCGAGTAGTACAAAAAAGAGGCTGGATCTACCAGTAGCGTAGCCGGGGGGGGGGCATATGTCCCTGGGCGCCGACCTTAGGGGGCGCCAAATCTTGAGGGGGGTGCAAATCGAAAAGTTTGTCCCCCTGGCGCCGGGAACGGTCGCTACGCCTCTGGGATCTACCAGGGCAGAAGCCATATTGTCATCAGAATAAAAGCTGCTGATTTCTTTGAATTACCGAGAACACGCACTATATATGAAGCCCTTAAGGCGTGTATCGCGCACCAACATTGCTTGTCCCAACACCCTTAAAGTGTCTGATATGACCCACAAAGGTCAACTATGCTCAGAGGCGTAGCGACCCTTCCCGGCGCCCGGCGACAAACTTTTCGATTTGCACCCCCCCCCCCTCGAGATTTCGATTTGCACCCCCCCCCCCCTCCTCGAGATTTCGATTTGTACCCCACCCCCCCTCCTCGAGATTTCGATTTGTACCCCCCCCCCCCTCAAACTTTCGATTTGCACCCCCCTCAACTTTTCTATTTATTTTTCCAACCCATTTTGGCGCCCCCTAAGGTCGTCGCCCGGGGACATATGTCCCCCCCCCCCCCCCCCGCCCCCCCCCCTCGCTACGCTACTGACTATGCTACAGAGTTCTTTTGAATCCGGGTCCAAGTAGATCTCTGAGTCCACACAGCTCTGACTGGTATTTAACTAATGTTTGCGAAAGGTAAAGGCTACATGGCATAGTGCTGACTACACTATAACTTCAAATGCCGAGGTCACAGAAACAGGTGAACTCTACTTCACTTGCAACATAGAGCATCAGGTTTGGAAGAGGAAACTTTCCTTTCCACCCCCCACCTCGTTAATTTTTCCTAGATTTTTTCCCAATATAATAGTCCCCTTCGATTGCCTCACCAGGGCGGGAGGTGGGTGGGACTACATACGTTTTTATTTTCCTAAGCATATAAACTGATAGGGGGAATGACCGGTCTAAGGGGTAGAGTTCGAATCCTGGTCCAAGACTTATGGTACCTAACTTATTTTATGGAAAGTAAAGGCGGGCTTGGGCACAGATTCCCTTTATATGCCGAGGTCAAGAAACATCTATAAATACATCTGATCGCTTTATATAAGTAATTAAATATTTCAATATATTTCATTATGTTATAAAATACATGCCTGTATCATGTGAATGTTAAATCCAACAGGTAATAAAACTAAAACTCACCACCTGTGGTAACCCATGCCATCTGTTTGACTATTGCGATCTGACGGTGCATATGTTCGCTGCTCGAAAGGGGGAAGCCACGGTAATGAGTTTTTGTTAAGGGGGAAGGCTTCGGTAAAAAAAAAAAAAGTTTTAAATACTCGTTAGAAAACATTTATTTCTTTACAGTTTTAATGCCCCA